TGCAGACGGCAGGGGCCCAAGTACTTGGGCCATCTTCTGCTGCCTTTCACAGGCAGAAGTTTAGACTGGAAGTGAGGCAGCTGGGAGTTGAATCTACGTCCATATGGGTTGCTGGCACTGCAGACCATGGCTTTACCCACTATACCACAATGCCACTCCCATCAAGCTTATTTTTAATTGAGAAATAATGAGATTCAACACCCCTTCATGATGAAAACGAAGTCTACAAGGTTTTATATATATATATATATATATATATATATATATATATAAAAATCATAAGCCAACAGCTAATAACAGACTGGGGAAAAGCTGAGAGCATTCCCCTCAGACCTGGAACAAGACAAGGATGTCCACTTCCTTTTTTTTTTTTTTAATTCTTTTTTTTTTTTTTTGACAGGCAGAGTGGACAGTGAGAGAGACAGAGAGAAAGGTCTTCCTTTTCCGTTGGTTCACCCTCCAATGGCCACTACGGCCAGTGCACTGCGCTGATCGGAAGCCAGGAGCCAGGTGCTTCTCCTGGTCTCCCATGCGGGTGCAGGACCCAAGCACTTGGGCCATCCTCCACAGCAGAGAGCCACAGCAGAGAGCTGGACAGGAAGAGGAGAGACTGGGACAGAATCTGGTGCCCCGACTGGGACTAGAACCCAGTGTGCCGGCGCCGCAGGCGGAGGATTAGCCTATTGAGCCGTGGCGCTGGCCAGGATGTCCACTTTCACACTCTGACTCAATGCAGTACTGGAAGTATCAGCAAGAGCAACTATGCAGGAGAGAAAGATAAAAGACATCTAAACTGGAAAAAAGGAAGTCAAAATACCCATGTTTGCAGATGATGTGATGCTGTACATGGAAAACCCAAACACTCCACCCAAAAGCTGCTGGAATTGATAAACCAGTTCAGCAGGTTACAAAATAAACATACAATACTTAGGAATAAAGTTAACCGAAGTGAAAGTTATCAAACATTGATGAAAAAAATCATCAAGGACACACAAAATGCAAACACACTCCTTGCTCATGGTTTGGAAAACCAGTATCATTGAAACGCCTATACTACTGCCTATACTGCCTAAAGCACTTCACAGATTCAATGCAATCCCTATCAAAATACCAAAGGCATTCTTTACAGAGTTACAAAAAACAATCCTAAAATTCACATGGAACCACAAAACCCCTAAGTAGCCAAGGCAAGAAAAACCACGCTGAAGGCACCACAGTACCTGATTTCCAGACATACTGCAAAGCTACGGCAACTCCTGGCACAGAAACGGAGACACAGATCAGTGGAAGAGAATAGAGCCCAGAAGTTAATCCAAGCACATACAGCCAACCGATTCTTGATAAAAGCGCTCAGACCATACACTGTAAGGTACAAGGGTAACGTCTTCAACAAACGGTGCTGGCAAGATTGGACGTGCAGATGTCGAAGAATTAAATATACTGAAACGAACAAGTTCACACACAGTTTGCACGCATGTGCGCACACAGCCCACGTTCCTGTCAACAAAGAGACCCTCTGCATCATTCCAGAAAGACAGCTCGCATTCCTCCCAGGTCAGCGCCCCTCCGAGGCAACCACTGCTGGGATTTCTCTCACTTCATTTTAGTGCTGAGCAGGTGCTCTCGAGAGCCATGCGGGACAGCATTTCTGACTGTCGAGCGAACTGTTGCCGGTGGCAGTCTTAGTTGTATACCGCCCGTGGCCAAATCAGCTTTTAACACTTTTCTACTTCTGGTAGCCGGTGGGCTGTTAGGAATACTCTTTGTTCCTTTCTCCTGGGCGACCACCTGGAAGTGGAACTGCTGGCCACAGGGGAGAGTGTGGGCTTAACTTCAGACCAATTTGCAAGGTAGCTGTGCCACTGCCACTGCCATAGCAAAGCACGACTTTCCTGAACGCTTGTCACCTGCCCCGAGGGCATGCGAGGCACCTTGTTGTGTGTGAACGCACACCTCTGGACGCCAGCGCTGCTCAGGACACATCAATTCAAGCCTGACCCGTGGCACCTTCCCCTGTGAAGGGAATGCCCACAGTCACTCCCTACAATAGGCTGTGTCCTAACGAATGGTCTGCAGCTGTGAACTCACAACATTCTGCACACTTCTCCTCCCAGGGACGTGTTTCATGAACGTTTTCTCCGGGTCAGCAACTTATCCATTTTTAAAAGATTTATTTATTTATTTGAGAGGTGGAGTGAGAGAGAGACAGAGGTCTTCCATCTGCTGGTCCACTCCCCAAATGGTCGCAACAGTCAGAGCTGCGCCAATCCAAAGCCAGGAGCCAGGTGCTTCTTCCAGGTCTCCCACGTGGGTGCAGGGGCCCAAGGACTTGGGCCATCTTCCACTGCTTTCCCAGGCCACAGCAGAGAGCTGGATCAGAAGAGGAGCAGCCGGGACTTGAACCTCTGTCCACATGGGATGCCGGCACTGCAGGTGGAGGCTTAGCCCACTACGCCCCTACCTATTCATTTTCAAAATGATTCTTGATGAGATGATTTTAATTTTGATCAAGTCCGTTTTAATGTTGTTCATTTACATTTATTTGCTTTTTTTAAAAAGACTTATCTAGGGGCCTGGGGAGCCACCCCCTGCAGCGCCGGCATCAGCCGCAGCACCAGCTCCACTCCCTGCCCGTGCGCCGGGGAGAGCAGCAGAGGACGGCCACGGGGAGACCTCGGGCGAGCCCAGGCTCCCGGCTGTGGCCGGCCCGGCCCTCTCCATGGTGGCCATTTGCGAGGAGAACCAGCGGACAGCGCACCTCTCAAATAAACAATCTGAGAGCGAGGCAGAGCGGATGAATGCACGTTCACGCCACGCGTGGCCGCCCCGCACTGAGACCCCCACGGCAAGTCTGAGAGACCCCCCACGGCGAGTCTGAGAGACCCCCCCATGGCAAGTGAGACCCCCACGGCGAGCCTGAGAGACCCCCACTGCGAGTCTGAGACCCCCCCATGGCGAGTCTGAGACCCCCCATGGCGAGCCTGAGAGACTGAGAAACCCCCCACGGCGAGCCTGAGACCCCCCACTGCTAGTCTGAGACACCCCCCCCCCATGGCGAGTCTGAGATCCCCCCACTGCGAGTCTGAGACCCCCCACGGGGAGTGGCCGCCGCACCACCCGGAAGACACAGTGAAGAGCAGACCCGGTACCTGCACCCGCGGAGGCCTCCAAGCTCCTGCCAGAGCGCCTGCCTTCCGCCTCTTTTATAGGGCCGGGGGCGCACGCCCATTGGCCACGCCACGGGGCGGGGCCTGAGCATGCGCGCTGGGCCTGGCTGCCCCGGAGCGTGCTGGGGGGCGGCGAGTTACCTTGCGGGGCTCCCCGGGGCGGACGCGCTAGTTCCCGCTCGCCGCTGACCCCGGGGCAGCAGGCCGGAGGGCCGGATCCGCAGGCTGGACTCCGCGGCAGGCCCAGTTAATTTCACTGGGGCTTTGTTGATTAAAACATTTGCCCAAGCTTTTTTCTTATTAAGATTCTTTTATTTATTTGCGAGGCAGAGTTACAGAGAGAGAGAGAGAGGCCCTCCATCCGCTGGTTCACTCCCCAGATCCGAAGCCAGGAGCCGGGGCCTCCTCCGGGCCCCCCACGCGCGGGCACGGGTTAACTTACGGTTATGGAGCAGAACAAGGAATGAAACGTTGACAGCGTGGGGGTCCTCAGAACAGCCCAGGGCGTGAGGGTCGCCTGGGTGGGCTCCCCAGGGGGGCTGGGCCTGGCTGATTCTGACCCCTGCAGGGTCAGGGAGGTAGGGGCTGGCTGGGGTGCGGCCCTGCTCCTGGTGGCTGGGGACGGAGCGGGGCGGGGGAGGCCGACCCTCGGGTCTGGGAGGCGCTGGCGTTGATGACGGACTGTGGAGCTGGGCTGTGATGGGAGTGGGGGCCACCCTCAAGTCTGGGAGGGGCTGGCCATGACGACCCTGGAGCTGGGCTGTGATGGGAGTGGGGGGCAACCCTCGGGTCTGGGAGGCGCTGGCGTTGATGATGGACTGTGGAGCTGGGCTGTGATGGGAGTGGGGGCCCACCCTCAGGTCTGGGAGGGGCTGGCATTGACGACCCTGGAGCTGGGCTGTGATGGGAGTGGGGGCCCACCCTCAGGTCTGGGAGGGGCTGGCATTGACGACCCTGGAGCTGGGCTGTGATGGGAGTGGGGGCCCACCCTCAGGTCTGGGAGGGGCTGGCCATGATGACCCTGGAGCTGGGCTGTGATGGGAGTGGGGGCCCACCCTCAGGACTGGGAGGGGCTGGCATTGATGACAGACTGTGGAGTTGGCTATGATGGGAGTGGGGGCCACCCTCAAGTCTGGGAGGGGCTGGCCATGATGACCCTGGAGCTGGGCTGTGATGGGAGTGGGGGCCCACCCTCAGGTCCAGGAGGGGCTGGCGTTGAGGACCCTGGAGTTGGGCTGTGATGGGAGTGGGGGGCCACCCTCAGGTCCAGGAGGGGCTGGCGTTGAGAGAGCTCTGGGTTCTGCAGACAGAGGTTTGTGGAGTTGGGCTGTGATGGGAGTGGGGACAGGCCTTGCGGAGAGTGGGGTTTGCATCTGCTGCTCTCACAGGAGGCCAGGCCACGGCTGCAGGGCGGCACCTGCGGCACCTCCCGGGATCCATCCTGGGCGGCGGCCAGAGGAACTGAGGCTGGCGTGGGAAGGGGTGAGGTTAAGGGCTGTGGGGCTGAGGCTGGTTGGGAAGCAGGGAAGATATGGGGGAGCCAGGGGTTGGCGGTTGCAGGACCGGGAAAGGAAGCAGGGTGAGAATGCTGAGGGGAGAAACCGAACCCTGGCTGGCCTCCTCCGAGCCTGTGCCGCCGCACAGAGGTCGGCAGTGACAGGACCTCAAGACCACACAAACTTCCAGCGCTGGCGCGGGCACTGGACATCTTAGGTTTCCCATCATCCGGGGAGGCCGGGCCGGAGCAGCTCTGGAAGTGGTCGTTCGTTCGTAGCCAGAACCTCTTGTCTTGTAACCCGTGGGGCTCTGGGACAAAGGAGGGTGCCAGGCGGGTACAGTGATTCCAAACAGTTTAATGTAATTCCAAGACAAAGTGTGATTACATTTCTACACATATACAATATGCATATGTGAGTTTACAAATTTTAATTAATAACTCGTTTCACCTCAGAGACCGAAAAAATGATCAGAAAGAAACTGTGAGTAACAAGCTATAACAGTTCACCACACGGGACCCCTCTCACCCTACAGTTAGTAATATTACAATTAAAATAACTATATTCTTCTATAATTTTTTTCTGTTAAAATCATCTCATAAATTTACAATGCTATTATTAGTTTCCAAGACTAATATAAATTCACTCCATTTTTCTACAACGAAAATGATTATTAATTTAGAAGCACACGACGTCAGGATGAAAAACACAAGCATTTTAGTAGCAAGGACTTGATCAGTTAAGAATTAGTTTCCTGGTAAAACATTCTAAAGCCAAGTAAAATATCCATTCTTATAACATACCTATAATATGAGACTAAGGAATAGGTTACATTTAGGTCTACAACACATTGGTTTGTCTTTAAAAAAAAGTAGACATTTATAAATAAAAAAGAAAAGAGGGACAATTCACATAGGAAAAAGAGGTACACGAGAGAATACTGTCGCACGCAATAATTTTCACACAGATTAACATGGATGAACGCTTATTACAGAAACCGTACAGTGAGGGAACACAACAGACCAGGGCTTCCAGAGGGCTACTGAGATTGGGCTGAGATGATGACCTCGAGGAGGGAGCCACGCTCCTCCGGCTGGTGCCTGGCCGTCACCAGGTCTCCTCTCTCCTGTTCTCATTCTGGGGAATGAGTCTCTCCACCCAGAGCGTCCTGAATTCACGGGCAGTTGAAAGGTAAACATTTCTACGGAGCGGTTCTTTCTATCTTAATGGATCTCATTTTTGGAAAGTTGATATAACATCAGGGGCTGCAGCTCAATACGTGTGGTCAAAGCAAAATGGGATGGAAAATTCCAGTCATTCTGATTTGCTGTCCCCTGTCTCTACACCCTTGATGCTGGGGACCGAGAGGGCCATGTGGCTCCACTGTGGGGAGGTGGGTGACAGGGCCTGGCGCCAAGCCTTGGAACAGCCTGGGACACGGCGTGCTGGCCTCACACTCCAGTGCTGCCCCAGCCTCTTCAGCCCCCACTCCCTCCTCCTCCTCCTCCTCCTCCTCCGTAAAGCTATACTTGTCCTATCAGGAATTTGGTTTGATATACACACACACACACATATGCATCAGCACCTACATCTACACAGTGACTCCACGGCACGAGAAGTTCTGCTGCCCCTGGTATGACTTTCTTGTCTACTTCATTTGGTTAAAACACACACACACACACACACAAAGGGGATGAAGAGATGCTTTGGGAGCCAGAAATGATTGTGCCCTGGGAAGTCCACAGAAAGCTTTAAATGAGCAAGAGCAGAAAAGCGAGGAAGTGAGATGCTGCGGGCCCCAGCAGACTGGGAGGCAGGGCAAACGCGGCGGAGGGGCAGGGTCGGAAGTCACAGAAGGCTACGAAGCATGGGCACGGTCAAGTCACTTTCCACCTCCCAAGTTCTTCCTTATAACCTGAGCCGAACTATTTAAACAACAGTAAGAAATCCAGGGCCCTGCAGCCCGGCAGGCAACCATCTAACAGCGAGGCGAGACGACCCCTAGCAGAAGTGGGCCCCTGCTGCTGGCTTGTGAGCTTCCTGGGCGTCTGTGGTGGCAGCAGCGCGGAGGCAGAGGCGGCTATGGGGACAGCGACTCAACACGAGTGTGAGTGTGAGTGTGAGTGTGGTGGGGGTCACAGCATCAGGAAAGATTTGGACAGAAACTAGAGTGAGCAGTGGTAGAACCCCTTCCCAGATACATTTGTTTTTCAAAATAAAAAGGGGGGGTAATTTCTATACCTCTAGGTTTAAAAATATGGGTACAGCCCCAAAGACAAGGACATAGACTTCATTTGGTTAATCAGTGCAAGGGGAAGACATGCAGGCGTGAGCACAGGAGTTGGAGCAGGGGGGCGAGATGAAGAGTGCTGGAAACGTCTGACAGCAACAGTTCTAACAGGACCCTGCCACGCGAACACATCGTGGACGCGGCTCACGGGGACAAGGACACGCGTGGCTGGAATCCAGGCGTTCCCTGCTCCCGGGTGCTTGCAGCGTTCAGGCTCCCATCTGCTGCAGGAGCGCCCCCCGGATCACAGCGGGGACTCTGCAGCTCGCTTGCTTGTGGTAAAAGAGGAAGCAGACTATATATAAATACAAAAAAAAAAGGAACTAGAACTCCCAGAGACCCTGGCGTGTCCTCAGTCCGTCCCTGTGTGGCACTGGGGCCGACTCCCACCTCGGAAGTCTCCTTGACACTGCCGATCTGCTGCTTAGATCGGGTGGCAGTGGGACGTCCACCCCAGCTCCTCCTGCCCACCGCCCCCCCACCCCCAGGCCTTCTGCCAAGTCCTTGGTGCAGGTGTGCAGGAGTGACACCTGCTCTCACACTGATTTGTTTCACATGAGCAAACGAGATAGAAAACCTACACAATGAACAGAGGCCCAGGGGACCCAGGTGACAGCTGTGTTTTGGGTCACGGAGTCCCAGTGTCTTCTGCCTGCTGACTGGGAGTTCACGGATCTGTCAGTATCAAATCAAGGGAAAAGCCAACGGGCCAGGGGTCTGCTCTCGCTGCCTTCTGCGGCCTCTTCCCGATGTCAGAGAGGCCCTGGAGACAGAGCTGACACACGAGGCGCGAGAGCTTCGCCCCGGCTCCGGCTCCCCGCTCAGCCCCGCCTACTCTGGCCGTCCCTGCACATCCTCTCGCGTTGGGCTACGGACACACCTGCCCCGGGCAGACCTGGCCCCAGCCACAGAGGCAGCCACCGCGGTCTGAAGACATCCGTTAGAAACAGAACTTCGTATAAAAGTACCAGTTTAAATGTAAACTACAAAACACGTTAACTATGAAACATAGCCAGAAGTATGCTTACGTATCCAGGGTTATTCAGTCTGCGCGTTTCAAATGTGACTCTCTTGATACCTTAGAAGGCTAACAGCATTTCACAGTAGCTAAAAACATCTGTACTTCACACGTGCATTTGAACGTCACCTTCGACCGCAACACCTTCTCCTGGGTTTGATGAACTACTTTCCCAATTCACTTCAGCTACAGTGGTCAGGGTGTGCACGCGGCATTATTTTCAGCCCACACAGAATTAATTCATAGTCGTTGAGTTCCCAAGATCAAGCTGGCTACAGGATTTCAGAAAAGGCTAAGACCAGGCTGAATGCCCACATGTGAGGTAATTACTGGCGTCAGGCCACAGCTTGTGTAAGGTAATGTATCGAAACCTTCTGAAGAGCATCGTAGGCGTCCGGTCCGGATCCCACCACGGCCATCGACGCCGCCAGGAGCCCGACTTCGGAGGAAGAGCTGGGCTTGTTTCCGCGGAGTCCGAGTCCCAGGGAGTCCAGAACGTGTGTGAACTGCCCGAGAGTCGGGGCCGACAAGCCTGCAGCCGTCAACAGCAGGTTCCGAGAGAAAGGACACGCAGCCTCCCCGCAGCCGAGCAGGCGTCTCCTCACAGAGAACGCTTCCTCAGAGCAGGGCTGTGCCTGCCCCCGCCGCCTCCGCCACTGCCCATCGCACACCTGGGCGAGACACCCGGACAGTCCTGCAAACTGGAGCGTGCGCCCGTTCCTCCGAGAAGGGTGTCTGTCGCGACAGAACGCTGGGCTCCTCTTCCTCAAAGTCTTCTTGCCGTTCTTCTTTGTTGACTTCTAAGAAAAAAGTTCCGGGACACCAGACCCACACAAGGTATTTACACATTTGGCGTGAATCCTGCACCTGCTCTGTCCCGAGCTGAGTGGTGGATCTACTGCAGAGATCAGAGTTGCCACGGTAGTTTTCAAGTGCAGTAAAAAATAGCATTTTGAAAAAAAATATAGACCTTTAGTATTGCCTTTCTAGAATTAACTATAAGCAAGACAAAATTATTTTCTTTTTAAAAGAAGAAAAAGAACATGTTTTTTCTTCACTCTTTTTAGAGTTTGTTGTAGCAGCACTGCTAAAGCTAGTTGGTAAGCTGGAAAGAAACCTACAAGGAATTCTAAATGCAAAAGAAACTCCCCAGAGGTTTCTCACTGACCGTCTCAGCCCGCCCCTGCGCGCAGCTCGGCACCTGCTCCGCACAGACTTTCTGCTGAGGCTCGTGGCGCAGGGGTGGCCCTCCCGAGAGCTGGCAGCCGCGACCTCAGCCCTGGAGCTGCCGGCCCACGTCCCAGCCTGGCTGCGCCCCCTTCCTAGCTTGGTGGCCCCAGACAGCTCAGGAGCTGTGCAGGCCAGCTGCCTGCCTGGGAGGGGCCGCCGGTGCCAGCCTCAGAGGTGACTGTCAGACTCGACGAATGGAGACCAGCAATGAGCAATGGCTAGCACAGTGTTTGGCACAGGGGACAGGGAGCACTCACCGCTGGCCCATCAGGATTGAGGCCACTCGCCGCTGTTAGTCAGATAAAACAAACAGAAATCCCGTCCCGGGAAAGGCCGGGTTAACAGAACATTGACTAGAAACTTAACCACCGTCGTCGCAGCTTCCTCATCTGTACATGGGGGTGGTGTTGGGGGCGGGGCACGGCTCTATGAGGCCTGGAGAAATGAGAGCAGCCAACGACTGCCGCTGAGACAACCAACGCAGGGCTCCGAGACGAGGGCTCGCTCGGGGCTCCGGGAGTGCAGCTGGGGGCGCGGAGGTGCCGCAGTCTGTACGGGAATCTGAAGGGAAGTGCTGGCCTACAGGCAGCTCTCTCTGGAACTTTTGGGGCCACCACACGAGCCATGACACCAAACGCCTGTGAGAGGCTGGCTTCTCTCGGGCTAAATTCCATCTCAGGGCCCAAGATTGCACTGAAGCTGGCCTGCAGGGGGACGGGGCAGGGACTAGGGCATCGCACGAGAGTCCTGCCGCTCCGAGGGCAGCACGAGGCCCCCCGAGAACCCCACGCCTTCCTTCCTGACAGCAGCAACATTCAGGACCACGCCCACAGCCTCTCAAGGGACGCGTGCAGGCTCGAAACACATGCAAGAGAGGAGAGACAAGGAGGGATGGGTGGCATCACCAGCGTTGTCATTACTGCCCGAAGAGGAGTGGGGGTGCCAGCTCGTCTGCCTCTGGGGTTCTCTGAGAAGGGGCTCTTTGGCTACAGAAAGGGATGGCTTCACCTTCCTCTCCAACTTGGTAGGGACATCTCTGGCCTGCTCAGTGCGGAGGCTTCCCCGCTGGCAATCTGCGCAACACACCAGAGAGAGCACACACACAGGGAGAAGCCCGCGACGTCCCCGCGGCTGGGACGAGCTGCGGCGGTCACTGGGCCAGCACCGCGCGTGCCCGGGCTGGGAGCTCTGCGGAGGTCTCCCCGCCAGCCGAGGGGGCCTGGCTATATCCTCCTGTTTTCTTGTCCTTGCAGCCGTATGGCAGGCCGGCCGGCCGGCAACAGCGACAGTCCCCCGTGCCCCCTGCCCTTGGCACTGACCAGGATTGGCCGGGGGACCCGTGCTGTGCCAGCCACCAGGAACCATCTGTAGTACTTCCTTAAGCCTCCTTGTCTCCTCCCTCCAGTTTCCAAGAACGACTGCTCCACTCACTCGCACACACGCACACAACCATGTCCTCTGCCACAAGTACTCACAATGAGGCTCTGCGATTCCCAGATGGAGTCGGGGGCGTCCTGCCGACAGCAACGGTGCTGACCCCCGTCTCCCACCGCCCGACACCCTGGAGCCCTCCAGGACACAGCCCAGCTGGCTTCCGCGGCCTGCGAGCGATGCAAAGACCGTCGGCTTGCCCCACCTCTTCTCTTTCCTCTGAATTACACTGACCGCTCGCTGCACGTCCCCGTATGAACCGGCATAAAGCCTCGGCTCTCTCACCCACTGGCCTGCCCCCCCCTTCTGGGAAACACCCACACGTCACAGAAACATGGGTGCCGACGCCGAGACGGGTCAGGCTCGGCAAGCAGAAGCAAACGGACCTGAGGGTTGCACGGCACCAACCAGATGCTGCTCTCGGTCTGTCCCCTCACCTCTTCCCTTCTGAACCGTCGTCTTCAGCGCGGAAAGAACTGAGTGAAGACCAGAGGATGCGCCATGTCGTTTGTGTCTGGATCGGGATGAGGCAGGCATCCCTGTGCTGGAGGGTGGGGGTGGGGGTGGGGTGCGGGGCTGGGGGTCGACGACGGGTAAGGACAAGGACGCCGAAGAGCGCGCTTCTGCTGGGGCTTCCTGGGGGACTTCTCACGAGACAGCTCGGCCTGGGACTGCGGGAGCACCACTGGTGAGGCCTAGGTGCTCCCCAACATTGCTCGCACAGTGGTGGGCTGGCTGTGGGTGGCCGTCACACACAGTGCAGGGCACCAAGAGGCACAGAGGCCAGCAGGCAGCTGTGGGTCCCACCGTTGGCTTGCGACACCCAGGCAGCTGCTGTGTCTTGTTCAGGTCTTCTCTGGCCCACTGTGACTGTGTGTGGGGAGGGGCCACCCATGGGGCACGGGGCGGACAGGATGGAAGGAGTGGGTGGTGTGGTTATGGGGCGCAGGGAAGGGGCGGGAGGCTGGACGGTCCCGGGGAGGCACCACCTGCCCATCGCTCTCATCAACATCACACCCCTGGCTTCCAGGAGGGACCGGTTCCTCCTTGTGGAAGGGGATGACCGTGCTCCAGGGGTGCTGACGGGAAAGGAGCCGGGGCCCACTGTGGACACAGGGGCTGTGAGCAGGCCAAGGATGCAGTCAGCAGGTGTGAGGCGCATGGAGAAGCGGGGCAGGGGAGGCGTGCAGGCGCTCAGCAGTCAGCGAGGCAGCACCCCGTCTGTGAGACGCTTCCTCAGGCACGGGGGACGGCGCAGACGCAGCAGTGACGGAGGCGGCCCGGCCTCGCGCCCAGTCGGGGCTGTGAACAGCAAGGGCTCTGCTGCTGCTCCAAGCTTCCAGCCCAGGGGAGCTTCCTCCACGGCTCTTTGTGGAACAGAGGCGACGGGAACAATTTCCCTAATTCCGGATCTTTCCTTTTTCTTCTTGTCTGACAAAACTGGACATCGGTCTGTCCCTCCAGTCTACTTACATACTCACAGATACATAATAAAATAGGTTTAAATAGTAAAGGGAGAACAAAGATACTTGGAATACATGTGCATTTAAAACCCTGACTAAAATATCAACATGATGATAATGATCATAATTACAATGGCAGTAACAAAAATAATTAGTACACTATCATCTTTATGAGCAGCATGGAACTTTCATTCCTGGTCTGGAAGAAGACGAGGAAGGAAAACAGGCGAGAGAGCAAGAAGCTTCCAACTTAAGCAGACAAAAACGTTTTCTTTAAGATGGAAAGAACATTTTGTGTTTTTCGCTAAAGATCGGACCGGGAAAGAGCTGGAGCTGCACTGTGCGGGAGGCCCAGGGTGCCAGCCGATAAGGCAAACTGAGGCTCACCCCGGGCACGCCCCGTGAGGAGCTCTGAGGGGTGCTGCTGCCCTAAGTCCTTCACAGGTGGATCTGCAGGCAGGGGGTTCTGGGAGGGCTCTGGCTCCAGGGTCCCCACAGTCTTGGCTCCCCTCACCTCTTGGAAGCAAACATTCTCCTGCAGCCTCAGAACAGGCAGTTCCCCACCTCTGCCGCGGCCCCAAGGGAGAACACCCCCCCGCTGGGGCCTGGCACTGGCACAGCTCCGGCGGCCGCGTGGTGATGCCACTGAGCGTGTCCAGGCTTGAGCAGGCCTCCGCATGCCTTCCAGCCCAAGGCCTGCAGCTGAGGGGTTTCCCGTCGGGGGACCATTTTCTTTAGAAGTGAGGATTTAGGGTTGGGGTGGGGAAGTTTCCAGAGTCACTTCACAGCTAAGAGCTAAGTAACGGCTTCGTTACTGAGTTAGGGCGGCTTTCACTACAAAATCGCTTTCACAGTAGCCCGCTCAGAGGGGCTGCCGGGATGGGGGAAGATCTCTCTGCACCTCGGAAACCTGGCGGAGGGGCCCCGTGAGGACTCAACAGCGACAGCCACCCTTTGGGCCGCACTCCCCACACTCCCGGATTTCACAGTCACTTACCACGACCAGAGAGGGCCCACCCCGCGCCCTGCCGCGCCGCCAGCCAGCGGGCTCGAAGCCTGAGAAATCTCCAGAACGCATGGCCGCAGGAGCACGCGGGGCAGGGCGCGGGTTTCTTTGGAAGCGTAACTGTCCCTTGGGAGGGTCCTCCCCGGCAGAGCAGGGCCCTGGGCACTCTCGGAGGCGTCCCTCAAACCTTCTGCCCACCACTCTCCTCCAACATCAAAGCCAGGAAGGCGTCCTGGGCAGGCCCTGGTCACGCGAGGGAGGAAGCAACAGCAAATGGAGCTGGTGGTTGTCGCCGGAGGGAGCATCTGGTGAGACTGTGAGGGCAGGACACAGCCCCCCAGGAGCTGTGGGGCTTCCTGTGGGGTGGGGGCCAACGCTCCTACAGCTGAGGGCACAGGTGAAGGCTGGGGGGGGGGTCCCTCTGGGTCTTTGCCCCAAAAGCAAAACTCAGCTGAAGCCACCCGACTGTCAGACGCGCTCCCTGGTGGCTCATCCACGACTCTGCCCCTCCAGCGGCCACCAGCTTCCCTGACACCCGCATGCGAAGAGCCCAGGAAAGACCACGGGCGTGAGAAAGAGAAAGGAAAAGAGAGAGCGGAGTGAAACGTGTGACCACGGCGGTAACAGAGGAGCTGAGGCTGGGCTGGCCTCAGCCTGGTTCTTGGAGTACCAGAGGAAGTAAACCCTCACACCGCGTCTGTCGTTCGGTAAGGCACTAGGAGGGAGCGACGAGAATGGAGACTGCGCGGCTGTGCCGGCGGCGCCCCCACGGCGGTGACTCGCCTGCGACCTATCGCTGTCTTTGTGCAATTACACGGAGGAATCGTCTATTGGTATCATTGCAAGTGAACACAGCTAGAGGACTGGGGTGCAGGGTGCTACATCCTACCAGGGCGTCTGCCCTGCACTACGGAACTAGGGGTTGATTCAAAGGGAAAAGGAATCTTCGGAAAAGAAGAGAAAAGAAAAGAAAAGAAAAAAACCCCACAAAACCGAAGTTTGCAACACATTAGTCACGACATTTGAGGCGGAACATTGTTTAGGGATTTGTCCAGAGCGCTCAGAGAGCCACCCAGCCCGTGCCCGGGGGTCTTCCCTCAGCCTGGCCCGCCCCGTCACCCCAGCCCAACCCCGAAATGTCAGCCTCCTCATTCTGGAGGGGGTGTCGACTCTTAGAGTTCTGGAAAAATCCCTAATTCGTATGTTCAGTTAATTAAAAATCTATTGGATTTGCACAGCAGGTGTCCCTGACAGCAAGTTCTTCAATGCCACTTGCCGTCGTATGAAAATAATCTTTGAAAAGTTCATAGATAAAAGTTCTCCCCACACTGGGCCCCTCTGGGATCTTCCTGTGGCTCTCTTCTCCTTTCCAGTTTGGTGCAGAGTGGGTGCATGAGCTGTGTTTTTTTGTTGCCAACATTTTTTTTTCTTTTTTCTTTTTTAAAATAAAAAGCATAGATTTCCCCCTCCTTGATCCCTTCCTTTTTAAAATGTTCTCTTCTCTGCTCTAAGTCCTCCTCACTTCCTGGTTCAAGTTTCCTTTGCGTCCGTCCCAGTCCCCGCCCCCTCCCATTTGCATTGTTTGTGTGCGGTGTCTTCAGCATAAAAAGCCAGCTCCCTCCTCGGTCCCAGGAGCTCTGGCCACCCTCCTCCCCGCCCTCTCTGGCCCCATCTCCTCCCCCACCCCTCCTCCCGCCCTCTCCGCCGTCTCCTCCCCCACCCTCCAGTGCTTATATGTAAGGGTACTGGTTGACCTTGGCAGGGCTAAGTGGGTATCCAGTGTAGACGGTGGAGGCTGGAGAGGCGCTGATGTAGGTCTGGTGGGTGAACTGGGCTGGATACTGGCTGGGGTGGATGGTAGGAGAGGGCAGGACCCGGGGGCCCATGCTCACGGGGACCTGGTGCACGATGCTGGCCGGGTAGGCAGTGTGCTGCACGGTGTGGCGCGCCGAGCCTTGGGAGGCCACCAGGTGGGCCACGGTGCCGGTGGAGCCCAGGGCGGCAGGCGCTGTGTAGGTGTAGAGGTGGGGCTGGGCGGGCAGGTGGGCAGCAGCTGCGGCGGCGGCCAGGTGGGGGTGGACAGTGCCATGGCTGGGGCTGTTGTGCGGGAAGGAGTAGGGTGCCTGAGCCATGGTGGGAGCGATGTAGGCCTGCTGCCGTCGGTGGCTCCCGGCGCGGTCCGTGGTGACGTGCTGCTGAGCCTGCGGAGCAGAGGCACCCAGAGAGGGCTGCGTGAGGGGGTGCACGGGGGAGGCCGGGAGTGGAGGAGGGACAGGGGTGCTGGCCTTGGTGTATAGAGCGAGTGAAGATGAGCCTGCACTGGGTGGAGCAAGCAGGCCTGCCCCTCACCGGCTGGGGTCCCCGGGCAGGAAGCCTGCGCCCTCGGAAACGCTGCCACGGGCAGTTCCATCAACTGTCTCCTACCTGGAGAAGCTAAGCTGCTGGGACACATGGCTGAGGCTAGGACTCTCCTGCCCTAGGTTGGGTGGGTCTCTGGAGTGTGCCCCCCCGCCCCGCCCCGCAGTGAGGTGCACAGCAGGGCTCTCCCTGGTTGGTGTCTTGCCTCTGCTGGGGGAGGCAGCCTTCTGTGGGCTCCTAGTCTAAGCTCGGCACCAAGTCACAAGTGCTTTGCCACGGTGAGGCAGCACTGTGCGACCCACGCACCAGTGCTGTCAGCTTCCCCACGAGCGACCCCGCCGGGGCAGCCTCCGCCCCGTGCCGCTCTCCGTGGGGTGTGAGGGTCTGCCGTGGGGGCCGCCGGCTGTCAGGTGGGGACTCACCTGGCTGAGATTGAGGGGTTGCTGCTGCTGGAAGTGGGGGCCTGGCCGCTGCTGTCGGTAGGCGATGGCTCCAGAGGAGCTCCCTGAAGAGTGACCGCTGGTGGAGGTCACGTTGCTGGAGGACTTGGGCTTGTAGGAGGACGCGTGGTGACTGGTGTTTGCTGTGGCGGGAGGAAGAGGAGGTCACAGGTCAGGGCTCTCCAGGATGCCCACACTGGCCAGGCCAACCCTGGCCTCAGCTTCCCCAACTCAGCTAGGACTTGGCCTTCACTCTGCGTGGGCAGCTGGGTTGTAGCTGTGCCCTTGGTCTAGAGGGTGGCCAAGGCTGCAAATGAGGGGATAAAGCTAAGAAAGAGGGGACAGGTGCAGGAGAAGCAGAGAGAGATGACGGTCGGGGGTGGGGGCTGATGCTGGCCCTCCCTGGCCACGTGGCCTCCAGCATCTGGGAGGCGGCTGGAGGGACTCCTGTTAGTGCCCTCAGCAGGTATTGTCCTTGTGCAGGTACTGCAGACTGTGCCTAGGAGCAACCAAGGTGAGCAACAGTGGCTGCAACGGCCCCTCGGAGCCCCCGGTCTGGTCTCTTGGATGAGACGTAGTCAGCGGGGAAAGGCATGAGGGCCGAGCATGGCCAAACACGAGGGCTCTTCCCGGGCTACACGCAAGAGGCCCCAGGTGGAAAGACGCGGGTCTCCTTGCCAGCAGGGGGCTCCACAGCTTGCACTCTAACAGGCGCCTGGGGTGCTGCTGACACTGCTGGTGGGTGGGCCCTGAGCAGCCGGGTGACACTGCAGGTAGGATGGCTCCTAGAGGTCCCGCCAGGCCCCTTCAGAGGCTGTTTTAACCCATCCCACAACTACTTCCTGAGGTCCTGCCGTGTCCCAGGAGCGGCCGAGAGAAGGCTGAGGGTGGGAATGAGGGAGCGTAGGTCATGCAGACAGGGGGCTGATGGGCCACCACACGCCGAGTTCAGGGCTAACTGCCCACTGGGCAGGGTCACGTGTCCAAGAGTCAGGTGGGCCGATGTGGAGTGGCCTGCTGCTCGCCCAGTCTTCCGCCAGCACCAGCCCATGCTCACGCAGGCTTTCGGCCACAGGCCGGTCAGAGCCCTGTCTACAGGAGGGGGTCTGGAGTGAAATTTCAGATCAGTGCACCCAGAGGGCTGGCCAGAGCCCTGCACCGGAGGCCAACCACCGGGACAGCTGCAGCAACAGCACCAGGCCGACACAGGGGAGACTGCGGCTTTGCACAGGAACTTAGGGTTTTGATTTTGCGGGCCTTTTGTGGAATGACAACGAGAGGGCACAGACATTTCTGTGAAATAACTCTTGTCGGTCAGTTCTGGCATTGAGTGGTCTGTGCCTGCCGGCCCCCAGCAGCGGGGACTCCATGGGGCGGGCACAGGTGGGACCACAGCACTTGGGATGCAGAATGCTGGCCCCCTTGGAGGCATCTCTAGAAACCCAATATTCTCGAGAACCTGTGTCTAGCACAGCCAGATGAGAAACCAAGACGAGGTCACACGGTCATGGGGCACAGGGGATCTGGGGCGCTCCCCAAGCACAGACAGCTGCTGCACACTCCCCAGCTCTGACACATGCTTTTGAGGAGGGTGCCCAAGGAGGCATTCAAGAGAAGACCCTGCAAAGTGACCCGCAAGGAGAAGTGGCAAGGATGGGTCGCAGAATACCCCGAGACAGGTCACATTTCACAGTGGTGGACGCGGGGCCTGAACGTCTCGGAGGAAAACAGAAGCCTAGAGCAGTGTCAGCAGGTATCCCGTGGCAGTCAGCGCTAAACTGGCGATCTGGCCATTCCAGGGGCAGCGGGTGCTAAATATTAATGAGGCATGAATAATAAAGTTAAGCCCTTGATTGAAGTGGGTTGGATTAATTCCATTGCAAGTCCCATGGTGATGAAATCAAGGCAAAGAGACGAAGCCTGAGGCTGGGGCCAGGCAGGAGAGAATGCTGACTAACTACTGACTCGAAGAGACACGTGCCTTGCCAGGACAGCAAAGCCACGATGACGACCTGGGGACAGCTGACTGTGGCACACCCTGAAGGCAGCCTGGGGCCAAAGCCACAGCCTGCCCCTGAGAACAAGGAGAGGTGCCTCACCAGGGAGGGTGGCGGTGGGTCCCAATCAGCCCCCAGGTCTCTCTGTGCACTGGCACCTGGGAACCCTCCCAGCCACTCACTGAATCGGAATCCCTTGAGCAGGTGCCTCAGAATCTGAAGAATTCTGGGAGAGTCCAGAGCCAGCCCGGCCCTGGTGCAGCAGATCTGCACCCAACACTGGGGCCAAGCCAAACCCCATCTGGTAGATGGAGGGCCTTCTGTAGACTCAGCGTAGGGTAAAAAATAGAAAGTCACACATGTTGGCTATCAGGTGAACGTCATCTCTCTCTCACTTAGTCACCGTAACACCCTGTGGGAGGCAGCTCCTTCCTGCTCTGCAGCAGAGCTGTGCCCACTGTGCCTGCCACCTGGGCCCTGGCTGTGCCACCTGGGCCCTGGCTGTGCCCACTGTGCCTGCTGTCTGGTTCCCAGCTGTGCCCACTCTCTGGTTCCCGGCTGTGCCCGCTGTCTGGGCCCTGGCTGTGCCCGCTGTCTGGGCCCCGGCTGTGCCCGCTGTCTGGTTCCCGGCTGTGCCCGCTGTCTGGGCCCCGGCTGTGTCCGCTGTCTGGTTCCCGGCTGTGCCCGCTGTCTGGGCCCCGGCTGTGCCCGCTGTCTGGTTCCCGGCTGTGCCCGCTGTCTGGTTCCTGGCTGTGCCCGCTGTCTGGGCCCTAGCTGTGCCCGATGTCTGGGCCCTGGCTGTGCCCGCTGTCTGGTTCCCGGCTGTGCCCGCTGTCTGGTTCCCGGCTGTGCCCGCTGTCTGGGCCCCAGCTGTGCCCGCTGTCTGGTTCCCGGCTGTGCCCTCTGTCTGGTTCCCGGCTGTGCCCGCTGTCTGGGCCCTAGCTGTGCCCGATGTCTGGGCCCTGGCTGTGCCCGATGTCTGGGCCCTGGCTGTGCCCGCTGTCTGGTTCCCGGCTGTGCCCGCTGTCTGGTTCCCGGCTGTGCCCGCTGTCTGGTTCCCGGCTGTGCCTGCTGTCTGGTTCCCGGCTGTGCCTGCTGTCTAGGCTCTGGCTGTGCCCGCTATCTAGGCCCCGGCTGTGCCTGCTGTCTGGTTCCCAGCTGTGCCCGCTGTCTGGTTCCTGGCTGTGCCTGCTGTCTGGTTCCCGGCTGTGCCCGCTGTCTAGGCTCTGGCTGTGCCTGCTGTCTAGGCTCCGGCTGTGCCTGCTGTCTGGGCCCCGGATTTGGATGTCCCCTCTCTGTTCCTATTCCAACTTCCTAGGTATTTCATGGTAACTGTGATTGAGAAACACTGAGCTCAAGGGAGCGACTGCTTGGGTCTGCAAAGGGAGGAGGTTAGATTGGAGATGAAGTGAGTGTGTCAGAGCGAGCCCGCATTCCACCTGCTCTCATCATTGCGGGGAGAGGAAATGGGAGCATTGCGGGGAGAGGAAATGGGAGCCCTGCATGAGGAGGAAGGTCCTGAGGGGCCCAGGTGATGGAAACAGCAGTTCCTCCTGTCGAGCTGAACAGCTGACAGTGGGCCGGTGACGCAGGTCACTCTCCTAATGTCTAGCCTGGCTCCCAGAGGAGGGTAGAGAATTTGCTGGTCATGCCTTGCCCAGTCACTCTCGAGGTCCCCTCTCTGAGAAAGAGCCTTCAGCTCTTGGGGGGGGCTCCAGTGGCCTTGCCTGTCCCATGTGAGGGGCAGAGGGGAGCACTTGGTGCACAGCCAGCCTCTGAAGCCAGACCCCTGGAAGACCCAGCCGCGTGGCCCTGGGTTCGCCTCTGTGCCTCCATGTCTTTACTGGTAAAAAGGGGAAACAGCGCAGCTGGCCACATGTGTGTTTGTTACGAGGCTCTCGTGGGTTAACACGCAGGACGCTCAGCATGTGGCATGTAACTCCTGGGAGTGAAGGACCTGGCCCCAAGACCACTGTTAGCCACGTCAGCTACTGTTGGTGCCATTACCACTGAGCTTTGCCCCTCGCAAAAGCGGCTGTTCAGGAATAGGTATCTGTTCCAAGCTGGGACAACGGGTTCTGTCCTCCTGGAAACGGGAAATTAGGAGCCCGGGAGTCAGGCGCAGGCAGCTCCGGAGAGCAGGCGTCGGGCTGCAGTGGCTCTGGTCTCAGTTCTGGCTCCTGGTGGTCCAGGACTCACTGCCGAATCTCCCCTCAGCCCTCCTTCGTGCCAGTAAGTTCTTTGTCTTAAATCGGTACAGAGTTCATTCTATGGCCTTGCAAAAGAACTTCAACTAACTCAAGAGACTGAGAAGGCCAAGTGAGAAATCCCTGGATTATTCCGCGGCAGAGAGCCACAGGAAGGGTGAGCGCTGTGAGAAACAGGTGGCTACACACCCAGCCTCATCGAGCCGTGTGTGGCGCAACAGCGCTGAGCTCTGGCGCTCTGGATGCTCCAGCTGGCGCGGCTGCAATTGGCTCACACCTCTGCCTGTACGGCCACCGGGGCAGCAGGAAGCCGGGGCAGGCAGCCCTCCTGATTCTCCCAAGCCTGGGGCGATCCCGCAGTTAAAGGATCAGATTAGTAATGAGAAAGCCACAGGCCAGGGGAGGGAATGCGTCAGACACAGAGGCGTCCCCGTGTGCAGGAGGCACCAGAAACATGCGCCCTGAGCTTCATAAACATCTACTTAAATACTCAAACAGGGGCTGCTGCTGTGACACAGTAGGTTAAGCCACCACCTGTGACTCTGGCATCCCATGAGCGCTGACTGCTCCACTTCCAGTCCAGCTCCCTGCTAGTGTGCTTGGGAGTCCTTGGGCACCTGCACCCGCGAGGGAGCCCCGGAATTAGCTCTTGGTTCCTGGCTTCAGATCAGCCTAGCACTGGCCATTGCGGCCATCTGGGGAGCACATCATCAGATAGAAACTCTCTCTAACTCTGCCTTTCAAATAAATCTTTAAAAAGACAATAACATAAGTATTGCAATATACAATGTGACAGAAATTATAACTTTTACAAATATTTAAACTCCAAAACACGTCCTGCATATAGTTTTAAATAACTAGGTAAGGGGTATCTGGGCAAAATAGAGTGCAGGCCGCTGCTGTAGGGAATCCTGTGTCCTGGAGTGAATTCCTTTGTTTGCCTCCACAGCTGCCCTATGTTACTACTGTAGAATGTTTCTTCCTGTCAGGGTTTCTGCCCAGATACTTGTCTTGGTAGAGGAAGAGTTGTTTTTTTTTGTTTGTTTGTTTTTTGTTTTTTTTTGGGGGAGGGGGAGGGAGGTGAGAGTGAGTTCTCTCTATAGCCTTGTGGAAGGGCTGGCTTCATTTTCTTTTCCTTACAGGGGCATCTGTCTTGGGGGTCTGCAGCCTGGCTGCCTGGCTTTGGGTCACCAGGAGCTGGCAGTAAGTACAGCCTGGCCCATGTCAGTGCACGCCCTGGCACCTGGCACTGTGGTGGGTCCCTCTCTCCTGAAGCTACGGCCTCCTCCTTCTGGGGTCATTTGGCCACTGGGAAGAAACCATGCAGATCCCTCCAGGCAGTTCAGCAGCCGTACATTTACTTTTCCATAGCACACTGTAGGCACCACGTCCCCTGCCTACGGGAGTGCTGACTCTGAAGTCAAAACCTTGGAGAGCCTGCATCTTCTGGTCAGGACCAACCAGGACGTGAAAATGGAATCCCTTCGGGGCGGGGAGTGTCCTGCCCACAAGCCACATAGGCCTGTGAAATCAGTCTGGCCCTGCCAAGGCAATGCAGGCAGGACTCAAAATCCAGCAGGCTAATTTTTAAGTTGGTAATTAGTGATGTTATAAATATCCCAATGGCCCTCGGCAGAGAAAAAGCTCCCCATGTCTGCTTCAGAGGGTGCCAGGATGGCTGCATTTAATGAAGATTTCTTCCAAGGAAAGGTAGCTGGGGTACCTAGAAAGCCAGGGACAGAGCTGACCCAGTGCCACCATGTTGCACCTTGCCTGCTGCGGGAGACAGGAAGGGGCTTATGGCTACTCCTGTTTTCCCTGCAGACAGAGCCTCTGGGTGCATCACAGGCCTTGTGGCCAGCTTTAGGAGGGCGCCCTGGGACAGCTGCCCACACTGTGTAGGCTGGCCTGTGGCAATGGGCTGCAACAGTCCCTAGAGACCCCACTGCTGGATCCATCTTCACCCTTGGTGGTAACACTCCATGGCCTTCCAGGTGGCAACTACTCCCGGCAGATTCCGGGGCCTCTGGCAGCAACTCCAGGAGAGTCAGGAGGTCCCTCCTGAGGCCCGAGGCATCTGATGGCTAAGCTGGTCTTGTCAGCATTTGTGCCCTTCCCTTCTAACAGTGCCACATGGAGGGGCAGCCTGGCCTGGTGTGGCTGGCTATGCTGGGGACAGGGAGGCAGAAAGTGAAGACTTCTCTGGTTGGTCCCCAAGATAAATGCTGCCTGGATGCTACAGAAGCCAGGGTGAGCCTCAGGTTTATTTAGGTTAGGTTCCAGCCTTTATTCCAGGGGCTGGTTTCCGGGACAAGCCTCTCGAGGACAGTGGGAGTCCTTTATAAAGCCCAAAGAAACACGCCCGGCTCCAAGCCTCCTCCCTCAGAGTGCCAAGGACACGGGGAGGGGGAGACTGCTTCACCCTCGCCCAGCCAGATTCGGGGAGCTGCTTCCTGCACACGGTGCCTATGGCACCCCAGAGCTGCCTTCCAGGGAAGAGGAGAGCTGTCCGACAAGATTTCTGCAGCCCAGGTCTCACCCCAGAGCAGTGGCTAGGAGCCGGGCAGCTCCTACTTCTCATTCATCAACTACGTCAGCAGCACAGCCATGGTAGCGGGCACTGACTGCAGTCCTCCCACGTGCAGGTACGTGAGACGCCACCTGGGCTCCTCGACCGAGATCCTTGGGGGGCTCGGGCACTGCCTGTTCCAGGAGCCCTCAAGTCGGCAGCAGCAGCAAAGGGGCAAAGCAGGCTCCGGACAGCCCCCCGTTACCTGGTGCCAGGCTATCGCACTCCACCAGCACCTCGCTGGCCTGGGTTTTCAGGGGCGGCACGATGATGGTCCTGGGGTTGCCAGCGCAGTGGTTCTCCACGGTCCCCTTGCTGTCGAAGGCATTGGCGTTGCTGTGCCCGGCGCGCTGCTGCACAGAGTAGGGGCTGGTGTTGCTGGAGGAATCTGAGTAGGGAGAGTCGTGGACCGTGACGCAGCTGATGACATTTTTCCTTTGCTTGGAGACAGTGCTGGCAAGGTAAAGGGAGAAGTGAGAAGCGTGAGAAGGCTGTGCAGAGGTGGCGAGCCGGCACGCCGGAGGACACACCATGAGAAAGCCTCTTGCTGTGACCTGGGCCAGGGAAGGAAGACTGGGCACGCAACCAGCGCAGGGACACGCGTGCCGGCAGGTGGAGACTGACGCTTCCGGGAAGGCCTGGACTCTCCCCGTGTGTGGGAGCTCAGCCGAGCTGTGGAGGAGGCACCTGCAGCCCAGAGCTGTGTACCCACCCCTTCTGGACCACCAGAAGTGGAATCCAAGCCTGTGGAGAGACCCAACAAGAACCAGGCACACTGAGAACCCAGTATGGGAGACCAGCACTGCTGGGAGGGAGCTGAGCAGGACACAGCCCACATCCAGCTGCTCAGACACCTGGGGGAGAGCCCCTGGAGCTGCACCAGACACCCTCAGCCGCTCTCCATCGAGGCTGCTCTGTGGGGTGACTGTGTGCAGGCCACCCAGGAGCTCAGGGCCCCCTCTGAGGGGAGGCCAGGTCCTCTAGCAGCTCTCCCCCTTCTTGGGCCACAGGTCAGGGGAGAGCCAGCATCGCCAGGCCTTATGGGAAAGCTCTTGCGGTGCTGGTCCTGCGAGGGGTCGCTCTGAAGCCCTGGCCTTCAACTGACACCTGGAACTTTATCTGGCAACAAGGGGAACTGGCTAGGGATGGCTCTGGGCTAGCATGGTTTCTTTTTTCAGATACTAACGTTTGTGTGGTCACTCTGGGAACCAATTCTGTCTGCCTCCAAGCTTAGCAAGAGACGGGCAGGATGAGAGGTGTGGAATTTATTGCTGATTGCATAAGGTTCTAAAAATAGATGTTCTTCTATTTTTATGTATTGATCATTTATTTTTAAGAAACAGCAACTGCCTAAGCAAACGGATCTGAACTAATTTGATAAGAGGCAGCTGACAGAAATAGTCTGACAGAATCACGACACACCCCGAGGGGTCTAGCCCAAGGTCACACAGCGCGGCCAGGCCGGGGCTCTTCCTCAGGGATCTCTGCTGCCCCTGGGACGGCAGACAGTGCGCCAGCTCCAGAGCCCCGCAGCAGCCGGGCAGAGGGAGGGAGCAGGGCTGCTGACTGGCGGGAGCTGGAGGGAGTGAGGAGGAGACACCCACAGGAAGGTCGGGCCCTGCTCCCGAGGCCACAGCTCCTGACACTGGGGCTGGACGATACTTCCAGTGGCCTCATACTCCATCTTCTCTGGTTCAGAGGGGATGCTTCCCAGCTGTGTCTGCAAGTGAGAACACAGCCCCGCAGCTAGACGTCGAACTTGGGGAATGCTAACTGCAGCCGGATGCCTGCTGTGTGCCGGTGACAGGGCCCTGGGTGGCTCCAGCCTCTCAGGGACCCGGCAGCCACACTGGTAAGGCGAGGAAAGACAGGACGTGCCTGCATCATGTTGGCTTGAGAACCAAGTGAGAAAATATAAGTGCTCTGGATAGTGAGTGACCCGCAGAAAGTATTTTATAAGAGCTAGCAGGTATTATTATCACAAGTTGAGTACTACGAATCCAGAAATCCAAATTCCAAAATGTTCCACAACCTGAAACCTCGTAAGTGCTACAGATGCCTCACACGGAAAAATTCCACACCTGGCCTCATGTGACAGGTCACAATCCCAACACAGGTGCACTCAAACTGCTGCTTCCAATCACCTTCAGGCTGTGTGCATGAGGTCTACATGAAGCGTAGACGAACTCCGCGCTTACGCTTGGGCCCCACACCCGGGATACCTCATTACATGTGAGCGAATACTTCTAAAAAAGAGTCCAAAATACCTGGTCCCAAACGTGTCAAACATCGACACTCTAATAAGCTGTGCTACCTTATTTAACACGTGAGAACAGGTTTGCATAAAACTGATCTAGGCAGAGAGAATTCTATCAGCTTCCTCTTTCTAGTCTATGAATAAACCAGAGATGGATATGAAAGAAAATTGAAACGTATCAGTTAGAGATCTCGGAGATCTACGTGAGGTGCTACAGGGAATACCTGTACAAAGAAACACAGCACACGTCTCTGCCCTCGAGAAGATTAAAATCTCAGTGGGAGACTGTATAAAAACATGACAAGTTAAACAGTAAAAGCTTTAAAATAACAGTTAAAGAGAATAATGGATGTCACAAAGCCCTTCATGATTAACTGTCAAATGAACTGTACAGATGATAATTGCTAAGAATTCAAGAGAAAGTGAGAAGTGAACTGGCTGCATGTATTTGTGGCTTTTTTTGTTAACTTAGATAAAATAAATTTTAATTAATAAGGGCTAAAATGTCTCACCTATAACCCTTTATTTTATTTTTAAAGATTTATTTATTATTTGAAAGGCAGACTTAAGGAGAGGTAGAGGCAGAGAGAGACAGAAAGAGAGATCTTTCATTTGCTGGTTCACTCCCAAAATGGCCTCAATGGCCAGAGCTGGGCTGAAGTCAGGAGCCAGGAGCTTCTTCCAGGTCTCCCACGTGGGTGTAGAGGCCCAAGGACGTGGGCCATCTTCCACTGCTTTCCCAGGCCACAGCAGAGAGCTGGACCAGAAGTAGAGCAGCCGGGACTCAAACCGGTGCTCATATAGGACGCTGGCACTGCAGGTGGCAGCTTTACCTGCTACACCACAGCACTGGCTCCACCTATAACCCTTTAGATGTAAAAAGTCCACATGCTTGTTCCTCAGCAGGCTAAACACAGAGCTATCACATAACCCAGCAAGTCCATGCTTAGGCTTGTACCCAGGGGAATTCGGCAGCGGCTCGGGTGCCAGCGTGCCAGTTCTTTCTGCAGTGGTCACAGCAGCCGAGAGGTGGAGACGACGCAGGGCCCATCCATTCTAAGAAACAAGACTGGGGCCGGGGCTGTGGCGTACGTAGCCAGTAAAGCTGCCGCCTGCAGTGCCAGCATCTCACGTGGGCGCCAGTTCAAGTCCTGCTGCTCCACTTCCCATCCAGCTCTCTGCTATGGCCTGGGAAAGCAGTGGAAGATGGCCCAAGTGCTTGGGCCCCTGCACCCATGTGGGAGATCCAGAAGAAGCTCCTGGCTCCTGGCTTCGCATCGGCACAGCTCCGGCCACTGTGGCCAATTGGGGAGTGAACCATCAGATGGAAGACCTCTCTCTCTCTTTCTCTCTCTGTGTAACTCAAGTAAATACATAAATAAATATTTTTTTTAAAGAAACAAAATTGATGTATACATGCAATAGAAAACAAATGTATTCTGATCCATGATGCAACATGGATGAATCTTGAACATGTAAGTGAAACTAGCTGGAAACAAAGAGACAAATATTATGGTTGCATGTATATGAACAATCTAGAAATAGGCGAATTCATACAGATAGGCTAGAGGAAGTAGGCTAGAGGTTACGAGAGACTGGGAAGTAGGTGGGAGAGAAATGGGGAGTTCTATTTAACATGTACAGAATTTTGTGTTGCAAAAGTTCCAGAGACAGGTAGTGGTGATAAATACAATTTATGCTAATTAGTGTCACTGAGCTGTACACTTAAAAGTAATTAAAATGACAACATTTATGTTTTATGTATTTTACAAATTAATATACAAATAATTGACCGTGCTGTGTACGCATTACATCTAAAAGAAAAAGTCCACAGGTTCATTCAGAATAAAAAAGCAAACAGGACTCAGAGTCTTGGGAGGTACAGCACCTGGAACAGGGCAGGAAAGACTGAGATCTGGAATGGAAAGCCGGGCGCCAGGAAGGGCCCCTGGGTCTAGAAAGCAGGAGAAAGAACCCAGAGCAGCAGGAGCAGGGGAAGCTGAGGGATGGGCAGGAGGGGTGGGGAGGGGGAGGCTGCACTGCTTCAGGGAGACAAAGACCGGGCGGGCGCCTGGTGCAGTGGTTAACTACTGCCTGGGACGCCTGCCTCCCACTCTGCAGCGCTCGGGTTGGAGTCCCAGCTCCTCTCTATCCCATCCTCCTGTAAGGTGCACCCTGGGAGGCAGCAGGGTTGGCCAAGGAGCTGAGTTCCTGCCACCCACATGGGAGATCCAGACTGAGTTCTCAGCTCCTGGCTCTGGCCTGGCCCGGCCCTGGCTGTTGCAGCCATCTGGGCAGTGAGCCAGCGAACAGGAGATTTCTTTCTGTCTCTCTGCCTTTCAGATAACTAAAATAAGTACATGAGTAAAAATAACATGGAAAGATGAACAAAGCATGCAGCTGTTGTCTGTGGTGTGGGCTGGTGGACAGTCTGGTGTAATAAGGATGGCACTGGAAGATACGCCCGCCCCTTCCCGGACAACACGCTCCCAAGGCCAAGGCAGGAGCTTGGAGCTGCTGCCCTGCTGCCCTGGCCTGCCCTGCACTCCAGGCTCCCGTCACACCACTTCCGTGTAAGTAACATGAGCACACAGGAGTCCTCCGGTCGTCCCCCCAGCCACGGACATGTTCTGTGGCAGGTGCGCATTCTGGGAATGGCAGGCCCCACCTGAAGACAGAGCCTGGTCCCCAGGTGTGTCCTCGGAGCTGGCAGCCTACTCCTGGCTCTGCTCTGATGTGACTCTGGCTGGTGGCCTGTCAACACCCATCCTGCTCCAACCTGACTACAGTCTATTAAGGAGAGAGGAGGAGATTTCTCAGAGCATTCAAGGACCCACTGCTAGGGCCCCTTAAAGATCTGTTATTAAAAGTACTTCAGATAGGATTTGGTGCCTTCCCACCACGAGGTGGCCTGCATGCTGATCTCTTGCTGCCTACTGAGGAGTGTGGGATTTAACTTCTACAAGGTCTTCACGAATTCTGTCCCCTTATCTATAGCCAGGAAACCCCTATGCCTGACGAGCAAACACAGACAACATGGTTTAATGCTGACTTACTTTCCTCTTAGGATTCACATGTGGTGAATTAATTTGATAGCTATTTTTCATCTCTTCTATTGTTAAAAATCTCTGTGCTCTACTCAAATATACTATGCAGACTAGAGAACAAATGAGAAGCTGCTAAGTGCACATCTGAGGTTATGGATTCTCCAGGCTCATATCTGTGTGGCAGTCCTACTGGGCTTCACTCCACTGTTGTGTCTAATTATTACTGAGAGCTGAGCAATCCCATTAAAAGTTGGTTACTGGAAGTGAGATGGTGATGGGAGTGGAATGAGAAATATTTGTTTGAAAGGCCTTGACAGAACACCACTTCTGAGCAAAGAACAAAGCAGCAAGAGTTCATGATTGCACTGTGTTGTCATGGCAATAGATGATTTTCATCATTTGAAAATGATGAAAAGAAGTAAGGAGCCAGGAGGTAAGGAAATAAATCCCAGTGGAGAAAACACTACCGGAGGCGCACACACAAACCTGTGACCCTCTCCTGCAGGGTGCTACCTGGAATGTGCTTCTGATTTCTATTCGCTAATCTCAGCCAATTTCATCCCTCAAGACCAGGATCAAAACTCATCTCCTCCAATAAACCTTCCATGACTCCTTCCACTGCTTGGATTTCACAGTCAATGCTATAAGTGAACAATATTCTCTATGATTATGACACTTACTATTAAATGTAAGTAACAGTTACTGGATGCACACCAACTCGTACTCAGAGTGCCTTGTGTGTATTGTCTCTCATCCTCATGGCAGGCTTACGTGGTAAACACCGTGACTGCTTTCATTTTAAAGACATCTAACTTCAGACGTGGGGAGCTGGGGTCACTTCCTTGCCTGAGGTCACAGACCAGTTGGGCAGAGTCAGGGTTGAACTAGCACCTGCACTCTTGTAAAAAAAAATTATTCATTCATTTATTTGAAAGGCACTGTGACAGGACAGGGTGGGGAGGGGGGGGGCAGAGAGAGGACTTCCATCTGCTGGTTCACTCCCCAAATGCCTGCCGAGTCAGGGCTGGGACTCCATTCAGGTCTCCCATGTGGGTAGCAAGAACCCAAGAACTCGGGCCATCGTCCACTGTCTTCCCAGGTGCACTAGCAGGCAGCTAATCAGTTATTTTTGCCAGTGACTGAGCTGGCCAGCATTTTAGGCAGTTACAGCGCCAGCTAGAAACCAGAATTGCCGGAATGGGGTGAGGAGCAAGCAGGGGTTGGGAACAAGGGTGATCTGGCCAAGGAAGCAAACTCCACTGTCCAAACCGGAACACAGCTGGGAGCAGCCGAGCAGCGCTGGGGACGCAGCCCGATTGTCCCAGGCCTGATGGCTGCTCCAGAGGCATCAGCATCTCCCAACAAAGCTGATCGCCCCACCTAAGGGGAGACCCCCGGGACCCCTGCATCCTGAAGTCCCTTCTGCTCACTCGCCCACTGCTGAGGCTCGGCCTGCCATCACCCTGCCAGACCTCTGGCCTAGAAAGCTCCCCCGCCCCACCGTGTCCTCAAGCTCTGCTCCCTGGGAAGCCCTGCAGAATTCCGCTGTTTTTATGGATCTGCATGTCTCTTATCTTGCTCATCGCACTGCAAACCTCAGGAGGGCCGAGCACATCTACCTTATCCATGGAAGACCCGCATTTCCCAGAAGAATGTCTTAGGCTTAGTGGGGCCAGTGCATGTTCGCTACGTTAGTCTGATTTCTAAGAACAAGTCATCGCCTTGTCCCACCCACCTCCACCCCCAAGCTGTCATTTCTCATTGCAAACTGCTGTCACAATAGTGGGATCACACACAGGGGCCTCTCCATAGACAAAAACAGCTACTGGCTTCTGTCTTACCCTACTCAGACGCAAGTACTCTTTCCTGCTCTCTCTGCCCTCGATTTCCTAGGACTCCGCCGTTTTCCCTCTCCTGTATCTATTCTGTGAGCCCCCGTCATGACCCTGGACGCCTGGAACCCTTTGTGATCACTCTCCAGTCTCAATCTGCAGCTCCCTGCTCCACGGAGGGTCCTGGGCACGGTCTCCCTGTCCCAGCCAGTCCCCTCTGCTTGCCACTCCGTGATGCCTCGGTGTGGAGCAGAGCAGCCCATGGGCCTCTGTGGGTGGCCCTCACACGGCACCTGCCCTCCCCTCCGCAGGGCCCTTCAAGTCATTTCCATCACAATCTGCCAGGAGTTCCCGTCCGCTTCCTTCCAGGGGCCTGTGGGACGGCTCTGGAAGCTGGTGTGTGCTTTGGCTTTGCGTTCTGCGCTGAGGCCTGCCAGCTGCCTGATCGGTGGAGAGACAGCTCTTTCATCCTCCCCTCCGCAGACACACCTCAGTTCTCTCCCGAGCGCGAACAGGGAGGCGATGCCAACTCAAATCTCAGACTTCAAAACCGATATCCCAATCTCGTCGACCGTCAGAGTTTTCAATCGCTTTTGCTTTTTTGCACTTGTGGCAAAGGACTGTGCCAGGTTGTTTGCCTTCTTGGGATCCGTGCTCTCAACCTGGGAACTCACTGCTGAGCCCGTGGGAAGCCTGGGCCCACAGTTTCCTGGGTGGGGACAAGGGAGGCCCACTGGGGAAGATGGAACTTTTTTTTTTTTTTTTTTTTTAAAGATTTATCTATTTGAAAGGCAGAGAGAGAGAGAGAGAGAGAGATGTTCTATCTTTCATCACTCCCCAAATGGCTGCAATGGCCAGGGCTGGGCCAGAGTGAAGCCAGGAACCAGGAGCTTCATCCAGGTTTCCCACGTGGGTGGCAGAGTCCTACGCATTTGGGCCATCTTCTGCTGCTTTCCCAGGTGTATCAGTGGGGAACTGGATCAGAAGTGGAGCAGCCAGGACATGAACTGGTGCTCTGATGTAGTGTGCCAGCACTGCAGGTGGCGGCTTAGCCCACTTTGTCACAACCAGGGCCCCAAGGACTGAACACCGATTCAACTTGGGGCTGGGATAAAAAAGGAAATGGAGGCCTGTCCTGAAACAGGTGATGAGGAAAAGGCAAGACTGGCTGGCAAACGCGTGCACCAGGGCTCGCACCGGAAGCGCTCTGCTATTTCCTTCTCTGGAACACACTGGAGCTTAAGCTGAGTCATTCAACAGGATAAGAGGATGCCTGAGTGAGACACACACAGCCCCGACCATGAAACAAACCTAAACCACTGCATTTCACTATAGAGACTGGAAGGGAATGCCCCTCCAGGACTAGCTATGAGGAGAGTGTTTTAATCAGTCTGTGCATTCTGTAATGATTTCAAGTACGAGAATTTATTATCTAATCAAAAGGGGCTTTGTGGTTGCTAATTAGCTACACTGTATCCAATCGAGAATTAATAATTCAGGCCTAATTCTGAGTAGTAGGCTTGGTACCCAGTCGAGGGATGCAGGCTGCCAGGCAGCGCTGGGCTGGGGAGTGGCAGGCCTCCATCCATGGCCCGTGCTTCCAATGCTAAGGAGCCAGCAGGCTGGGGTCGGGAGACTCTGGGCTCTCCAGGGCCTGGAGGCCCCCAGGGTAGAGAAGGCCAGAGGACCAGCTGTTCCCGGAGGGGCCCGTGGAGCAGCCCAGGCAAACACTGCATTGTGCGGAAGCCTGGCTGCAGCGCACAGACAAAGTGGCTCTGGCACCAGGGTTAATAGTCTTGCAAATAGAATAAATATTTCTTCCTTCTCCCCAGGAAGCGCACAGAAAGTAAAATGAATTATTACTACTCTGCAATAAACAGTAATGCTCTCTGGGTGAAGAGCCAACTAGCAATTGGAAAGATTGGGTTAATCAGACACAGAGAAATTTCTGATTAATTGGACAATTGCTTCGAATTCTGAGTGAGCCAAGGCAGTGTTGGGGAAATATCCTGACCAACTGGGAAAAACTCAACAGCCGGAGGCAGAGAATCTCGGGCTCACAGGGGCTGAAATGCTCCGCCCTGACGGTGAGCCTGATTTAGCCTTCAGTTTCCCAAATGTATGGAGCCTATAACTGTTTATAAGACCAAAATGATTCAAAATTATGGAAAATGTGTTGGACATTCTCTTGAAATAATGCTGGGACCCTCGGGGTCTGGAGAGAGGGACTGCTATGTCTGCGATGGAGAACGGCCCAGGTTCGTGGACACCGGTCTGTGTGTGAGCTGGAACGCACGGCCACCCCCCGGGAAGGGCCCTGCCTCACCTGGTGGGGGCGTGTTTCTGCTCCTCCTCCTCGTCCGTGTCGCTGCTGATGGTGATGACGCTGACTGTGGGACTGGGGGTATCAGGAATGACAATTGTCTGCCGCTGCCGCTCCCGGGTGGTGCTGGAAGCAGCGTCGCCCCACCCACAGGTGACTGAGGTGCTGCAGGCTGGGCTGCTGCGCACCATGGCACAGCGGGGAGGGGTGTTCTCCTTGACGCGCTTGGATCGCTGCGGGGAGCTGATGGCCTGGGAGGAGGACACTTCGCAGGTAGAGACATTTCTGTAACGACAAAGCCGCACACACTGACAGAGGAAGGCCACCCCAGCACGTCTTCCAAGGAGCCCAGCTGTCTGGGAACATCAGCTTTCCAGCCGTGCTGCGACTGGGGAGTGAGTGGTCACCTCCAGGCGCCCCTCGTTAGTTGGCAGGCACACAGGGACAGCAGCCTGGCCTTCTCCGGGCTCTGGTTTGGCTCCATGGGCCTGCACCTGGCAGGCAGATCTGGTAAGGGCAGACTGTCCTAACCACCACGTCAGCCACATGACACTCAGAGATTCCATTAGCTAAAGGGATGGCAGTGTCATGAAAACAATTCCGTAAAGGTAGATTTATTTAATTTTCTATCTAGCTGGTGTTGAGATGTTTCTTGTTCCTGGTAATAAGCTTTACTGATAAAATGGTTCATTATTCACACTCACCATAAACCTAGGTATGTACCTCTGTATTCACTATAATTTTTAGATTAGGTTTTCACAATTCTAGCAGTTACACTGTCTCAACCTGGCACTGCTAAAACAAAAATAAAAGAAAACATGCCTGCCCGCAACGACTGACAAGGGAGAGCCTTCTGGCTTCTTCTTTGCTTTGCGTGGAGCACTGGTCTTAAAAATAGGCAATGATGAGGGGTCTTGAAAATGCATGCCATGAAAAAAACTAGGTATGGATTTCAGAGTTTTCTTTGCATCAAAATAAACGGATCTTTTAATTGCACTTTCCATGAACTTTCTGAAGTACTTTCCTATATAACTTGCAGTATAATTAGTGTTGACCTTGACCTGTACTGGCAATAAATCTTATTAAAGCCAGTTAGGTGGTGAGCAGACACCCAGCAGGGTGGGAAGGCTGGGTCTCTGGACAGCTATGCTAGGCCAAGGTGAGCCTGACCAGTGTCCTGCAGGACTGACCTCTTGGCTGCATGGAAGTGCAGGGCCACTGAAACAGTGGCCTTTGTTGCCAAGCCATCAAACGACGGTGTGAGCGGTCATCTCAGAGCTGCCGGACTCGAGCTTCCTCCAGTGTCAGGGATGCTCCAGTGAGGACCTCAGCCCTGATGTTTTGTCTTCGTGATCTCCACCCACTGACCCCCACCCTGTTGTTCAAGTTGTACTTGGAGTAGGGTGCAACCTCTCTTCCCACTATGAAATCCCTACGGTGGTCCTGGACCATCTCAGTAGTACGGAACAAAGTCTTCTTTACCGTGCAGGGTATCAACAGGGACAGAAGCTCTCAAGGTATAACATACTGTGCTCTGTGCCCCCACACAGAGCGCTTCCTACACACCTGTGGGCTGTCTGTGTGCCTGTCGGAGGAGCACCCCCAGCCCACGCCAGCTCGGGGATTCTCCTTAATCCCAGAGGAGCGTTCGCTTCTCCTGGGGCCTGTCTCCTCCAAGGACCCCTGCCACCACTCACCTCACAGATGACTGGTGCTGCTTACTCTTCCGGGAGGACGTGGTGCTGGTGGGCTGCTGCCTCATGACATGGGCCACACCCACGTTTAAGGGCTGGGCTGCTGGAAGGGTCACATGACCCGTCAAGAGCGCAGGCTGCTGCATGATGGGATTGTAATGGCTGCCGTGAGCGTGCGTGTTCCTGAAAGGCAGAGGGAACATGGGCTCCTCAGAGACTTCAGGAAGGCAGAGTTTCTTGACAACACAAAGCTTCCTCTCCAGTGAGAAACTGACCAGGTGGGGCTTTGAAAATGTTTTTATTTACTTAACTTGAGAGAGAGAGAGAGAGAGAGAAGCAGCACTCCCGTCAGCCTCGTCACTCCACAAGTGCCTGCAACAGCCGAGGCTGAGCCAGGATGAAGCCAGGAGCCCAGAGTGCCATCCCGGTCTCCCATGGAACCCAGCCATGCGAGCCATCATGCGCCCCTGGTACACGTTAGCAGGAAGCAGGGATTGCCTTGGTCAGGTCGCCAAGCTGTGAGCTCTCAGGTTTCCTGGGCACCGTCACGTTGAAATGCTGTTCTAGGGGACAGGAGGAGCCCAGCTTGTTGGCGAGAAAGATGACCAGCGAGTGGGAAGAGTGCTGAGTGCACAGGCTCAGGGCTTCTGTGTTGAGGGCACAGGAGATAAATGTTCCTCCAGCTTTAAAGGCCCTGAGCAGGCGGTTATGCTGCTCCATACGTGTGTTTTATTTTAGAATTTATAAAGTGTCTTCAGCAGGTTACTTCATTTCACTCTGTGGGGTAGGCAGGAAATCTCAGTGAAGCCATCTTATTAATGAGGAAATTGTAGTTTATGTGAAAAACAAACTTTGGAGGCCAGGAGCCATACATTTCTGGCAATCGGAAGTGTTACGTTCTTTGAACGCCCTCAGTGGCTAGCACAAGGCTCAGACATGTAGTAACTGATCAGGGACTCACATGCTTGCTGAATGAGCAGCTAGATTAACTGAAGACTGACTAGACATGTATCGAGTTTGCTACTAAAATCAAAATTAGTTGGGGGTAGTGCTGTGGCATAGTGGGTAAAGCCGCCCCCTGCAGTGCAGGCATCCCATATGGGCACTGGTTCAAGTCCCGGCTGCTCCACTTCCAATGCAGCTCTCTGCTATGGCCTGGGAAATCAGTGGAAGATGGCCCAAGTACCTGGGCACCTGCTACCACACGGGAGACTCACGAAGAAGCTCCTGACTCCTTGCTGGGGATTGGCTTAGCTCCAGCTGTTGCGGCCATTTGGGAGGTAAACCAGTGGATGGAAGACCTCTCTCTCTGCCTCTGCCTCTCTGTAACTCTGTTTTTCAAATAAATAAATTAATTAAAAAAAATCAAAGTCAGTAACAGACACATGTTGACAGAAATACTGGCAGTCTATCCTGAAAATGGTTACATTTCAAAGTTCTTACAACCTGGATGTATGGATTGCCAAGTATTTTTTCCACAGAAATGTTAAAAGTGGTGATTGATTCATAGATTTACCCATAAAAGACCATTTAACACACACTGAAAGTAAAAGGGGAATTCATTTCAGTATTTAAAAGTTATCAGATCTGTGGACAGGCGTTTGGCATAGGGGTTGCGACACCACTCGAGAGGCAGCACCCCATTGTGCAGCCTGCGCGTTCAAGTCCTGGCTCTGCTTCTGACTCCAGGTTCTGTTAACGTGCACCTGGCAGGCAGCGGTGACGGCTTCAGTTCTTGCCATACACATGAGGCCTCTTCCTGGCTTTGGCCTGGCCCAGCCCCAGCAGTTGTGGACACTTGGGGGAGTGAACCAGTAGATGGGAGACCTCTCTGTCTGCCCCTGTTTCTCTCTGACTTTCAAATGTATGTATGTATGTATGTCTATATATATGTCTATATACATATATATCTGTATATATATAAAGAAGGGGGGGTTATAAAATTCTGTCTTGTGAGTTGGCAGAAGGGTGACTAGGGGGCTGGTGCTGCGGCTCACTAGGCTAATCCTCCGCCTTGCGGCGCCGGCACACCGGGTTCTAGTCCCGGTCAGGGCGCCGGATTCTGTCCCAGTTGCCCCTTTTCCAGGCCAGCTCTCTGCTGTGGCCAGGGAGTGCAGTGGAGGATGGCCCAAGTGCTTGGGCCCTGCACCCCATGGGAGACCAGGAGAAGCACCTGGCTCCTGCCATCGGATCAGTATGATGCGCCGGCCGCAGCGCACCGGCTGTAGCGCACTGGCTGTGGCGGCCATTGGAGGGTGAACCAACAGCAAAAAGGAAGACCTTTCTCTCTGTCTCTCTCTTGTCCACTCTGCCTGTCAAAAAAAAAAAAAAAAGAAAAAAAAAGAAAAAAAAAAAAAAAAAGAACGGCCTTGTAGGCAGAGAAGGAGCTGCGGGAGGGCTTCCGGTGGTATGGAGACTGTGAGGAGACTGGGGAGTGCCTGCGCTGACGTTCGTGCTGAATCTGGTACGGTTCAGGAGGCCATCAGGAGCGGGGGATAACTGAGGGCGGAGTTGCTGTTTCTGCACTGGCAAAGAGGGCGCCGCTGGTGGTGTTGGGAGAGGTGCAAGACAGAATGGCAAGTGGCCATGGGAACACTAGGAGGCCAGTGAGTCGGATGGAGTGGTGGTCTGGGAAGATGCAGGGGTGCGTGTGCAGGCGGGCAGCCAGCCGGACGCCTCTGAGGTCTGTAGACAGTGGACTCTGGTCTCGAAGACATGACTACGGTCTGAAGAGGTGGGCTCAGAAAACGCGCCCGAGATTACCACTGCGAAAACACCCACTCCTGTCCAGCATCCCCCGGGGGGCCACACAGACGTCACGTGCCCAGGTCTCACTTGCTGGAATTGCTTGGGGCTTCAGGGACATCCTTCTGCATCCCTTTGCTGGTGACAAACCTTTGCTTCCTGAGAGTGGAATTTAATTCTGAGAAACATTTAGAAATCAACTAGGCTCAAGTCTGGTGAATTGTATCGGTGAGTACGCAGTGTAACTGAATTTCGAGTGGAGAAGCACAACTGAGTGTAAAGTAACGAAGCTTTCTCATATGCTGGTGCTTCATTTGCTTATATAATGCGTTTGGGAGGCAGAGAGAGCGAGAGTGAGAGAACCTTAGCTCCCATCAGCTGCATCCCTCCCCAAATGCCTGCAATGGCTGGGCTCGGCAGGGCTGAAGCAGCAGCTGGAAACTCAGCCCAGGTCTCCCGTGTGAGTAGCAGGAATCCAATTACTTGAGCCGTCCCCACTGCCTCTCAGGCGTTGGTGGGAAGCTGGCATCAGGGGCTGGAGCCAGGAATCTAACCAAGGGACTCCAGCGCGAACCTGAGCGCCTTAACCACTAGGTTAAACACCTACTCCCTTTGGCCCATTATTTAAAAGGACGCTCTCAAGACACCTTAGACACAGTCTGCACACTATTTCACACAAACCAGCGGGTTCAGCTAGAGGCCAGCCTGGCCGCTCCGGCACCAGCACCTGCTCACCTTGCAGAGGCTTCGTGCTTACCTCCAGTCAGCCAGCTGCTGGGTGCCCGCCATGGTCTCGGGAATCACGGCCGTGTGCTGCACGGAGGTGTGGGTGGCCACTCCGGTCAGCTGCTGCCATGCTGGGGGAAGCAGGATCTGCTGGGTCCCGCTTGGCCAGGCCTGCTGTAGGACAGAGGATGCTCGCAATCACCACGTTTGTCAGCCACGTATCGACCTGTAAGAATGCAGCACCACTCTGCTGTGCTGTGCCAGGCTCTGTGCTGCGTGTGAGAGCAGAGAAATGGTCTCTGACCCCAGAACTACCAAACACGAGCAAGCTGAAGATATCTGAGTGCGGGGACTGTGTTGTTAGGAAGGGTTCGTTCACACTGAAGAATGACTATAAATCTGCTCTAGCGAGCAATTTCTAAAGTTCATTTATTGATTCATTTTGTGCAGACATTGAGGTGGCTGAGTCAGATGATGCCTTGCCCTCAAGCTTTTCTTGATTTAATATTTTACATTCTGTTTACCAATCAGAATCCAGAGTTTCAACCTGTGTTACCTTCTGAACTTAAGTTTACAGTTTTGAGATCACCAAGTATCCAGTACCACCCTACCTCTGAGAATAAACGAATTTGAAGTAATATTCATAGTCGAGACGTTTCAGCCAAAAAGAATTACCTCAACTTCTCAAAGCAAAGATGAGGGTTAGTTAGGGAGTCACTGCTTGAATCTACATAAAATTAAGATTTTTCTAAGACATCTAAAATGAGCCTTCATGATTCTTTCTTTTTTTTTAAAAGATGTTTGTTTATTTGAAAGGCAGGGGCAAGGCAGAGTGAGGTCCTCCATCGCTGGTTCACTCCCCAGATGGCCACAAATGCCGGAGCTCTGCTGATCCAAAGCCAGGAGCTCCTTCCAGGTCTCCCATGGGTGCAGGGGCTCAAGGACTTGGGCCATCCTCTACTGCTTTCCCAGGCTATAACAGAGAGCTGGATTGGAAGTGAAGCAGCCAGGACTTGAACCGGTGCCCATATGGGATGCCACTGTCACAGGTGGCAGCTTTACCCACTATGGCATAGTGCTGGCCCCCTCCTGATTCTTTCTTGAACTGACTTACTGGCTGAATGTGTGTGTGTGTGTGTGTGTGTGTGTGTGTGTCGGGGTGCTGTGTTTTAAGTTTCCTATAGCCTCAATCACTGTGCTGGCCCTTGGCCGTTAACTGATTCAGTCTGAATACAACGCTCCTAAACTAGACCCCCGGGAAACCACCACTAAGGTAAAATACCTCTTGGGCAGATGCAGGATTTAAGGCCCTGGTATTTTAGTCTCTCTCTTTCCATCTGGCAGGACATGACCAGCATGGGGTGATTCACCTAGTTCAGTGTTCCACAAGCAATGCATGTGTTAATATGTGTGTGTTGACCCCACGTACAAATACACTTCTAGAAATAGGTTACAAATCTGAGTCAAGGCTTACTGCACAGTGATGTATATAAAAATGACATAATCACATTTTAGATCTCAAATTACAGTTCACCTGGTCCACCATCCTCATGTTGCAAATGAGACCCCATGATTTTAAAGATTTATCTTACTTACTTGAAAGACAAAATTACAAAGAGAGAGAGAGAGAGAGAGACAGACAGACAGACAGACAGAAAGTCTTCCATCCTGCTGGTTCACTCCCAAAGTGGCTGCAACGGCCAGAGTTGAGCCAATCCGAAGCCAGGAGCCAGGAGCTTCTTCTGGGTCTCCCATGCTGGTGCAGGGGCCCAAGCACTTGGGCCATCTTCTGTTGCTTTCTCAGGTGCATTAGCAAGGAGCTGGATCAGAAGTGGAGCAGCCGGGACTTGAACTGGTGCTCATATGGGATGCCGACACCCCAGGCTGGGGCTTTAACCCACTGTACCACAGCACTGGCTCCTCTTATGTTTGCTTATTGATCTGCTTTGATATGGCCAGAGGGCTCAGAGACCACAGCTCAGACTCTAAGTGCTTAATGAATATCTGTTGATAAAATGAAAGAAGCAACTCTACCAGAGCTATTAACTATAGTTACTTATATTTCAAATTTACTAAATTCACATTAAGCAGAATTACTAATTTAATTGATTAAAACAGTTTTAAACTCAAGCTATTAAATGATTAATATTTCCACGGGTGGTAAGACTCTACTGAGTTAGTCATCCACACCTCATTTCAGATGTCATGGAAAGCGTGGGTTTTGACCAACGTCATTTATAAAATAAGTGCTGATCTCAAGCTAACATCATTTTTTCTATTTCCCTGAAATGAACATTAACATTTTACTTCAAAAAGATGGAATAAAAGGCTATTTTGACTTTTTTTTTAACTGATTGATATACACAGCTCAACTGAGAGGATACTTCCTCAGGCATTTCTGTGATGTGTTACTGGTACTGGGAATGGAGCTAACATTTCTTGATGTGCCATGCAATGAGTTAAGTAATAAATGCATTTTCTGACTTCTTAATGCCAATTCTAGGAGGCAGAGACTCTTAATTTCTCTCAATTCTCAGATGGATAAACCCAGCACAGAGAGATTAAATAACTTGGCCAGAAATACGGTAAATTAAACATATTCATTTATTGCTCTCTAAACCCAACTGAAATGATAGTGGAATTTAAAAAATACGAATTCATAAAGGCAAAGAAAGCATGAGAGAGACAGTAACACTAAAATTTTCAAAGGCAGAAAACAGATGGCCAATTATGAATGCGGGAATTCCAAGGTCACCTGTGAGTGTGAAGCCCTTCACTTCCCATGTCCCTGGTGTGCGGGCACAGACCTCCCCTGAGGCTGGAAGCTTCTCTGTAGGGAAACTGACGGGTCCACAGACAGGACGCCGGGGGACCCGCTGGAGCACCGGGGATCTCGGCAATGACCGGCTGGGCTTGCCTCTCAGCAGGCCACAGAGAGCCACCGCTAGTGGCCCCCGCCACCACAGCTTTCCGGTCACTGTTGAGTGTTTTCAGGCTTCAACATGAAAGGACAGACGAGGCTCACCAGACAGGAAAGAAAGCTTCTGACAGGAACGGACTCAAACAAACAAACAAATAAAAAACAAAAGGAAACTCTGAGGAAACAAAAAACAGGTGTAGCAATAAGAAAAAAATTTGAGGCCAGTGCTGTGGTGTAGTGGCACTGGTTCTAGTCCCGGCTGCTCCACTTCTGATCCAGCTCTCTGCTATGGCCTGGGAAAGCAGTAGAAGATGGCCCAAGTGCTTGGGTCCCTGCACCTGTGTGGGAGTCTTGGAAGAAGCTCCTGGCTCCTGGCTCCTGGCTTTGGACCAGTATAGCTCTGGCCATTGTGGCCATTTGGGGAGTGAACCAGTGGATGGAAAACCTCTTCCTCTCTCTCTGCCTCTGCCTCTCTGTAACTCTTTTAACTAAAACAAAAACAAAAACAAAAACAAAAACTTTTTTTTTAATGGAAGATCAGTTTAGAAGTAGCAATACCTAATTGGTCAGAATTCTACAAAGAAGAAACAGGAAACTGAGGAGAGGAAATTATCATAGGCAAAATACAAGTTTCCAGACTGAAAGGGCAAACAGGGCGCCGGGGGCGAGCAGGCATGGACTCTGGGAGCGCAGTGGGCGAGGGGAGGTCCTGAAAGCTTCCTGAGAGAGAAGGAAATAAGACGCTGAGCGCGCTGTGCTTCAAGGTCAGCACATCAGACACACTCCCAGCTCCTAGCTCTCGGAGGGTCCGGGGCCCCTGAGAACTGGTACGTAAACAGCCGACCCGGCGACAGAACAAGGCCGTCATTAGCTCCGGGAAGAACAAGGAGCTGTGCCACAGAGGAAACACACTTGCAGCACAGGCCGAGACCCAGCTGAGAATAATGTTATATAATACTGATGATAATTATGTGCATTTTATGAAGTAGTTGAATAAAAAAATTATGCAGGAGAGAGACTGTGTGTGGCCACAGAGCCAAGTCTTCAGCTTTCATTAGAGGAAGTCAGTTGGTAATGCCTAAAATGGAAAAATCAATAAAAAGCAGTCTAGCATGTTATTTTAGAAATATAGGTTAAATAACAGATTTAGCAGTGAGGTTAAACATTGCTATTTTGGGGTGGTAGAAATTAAAGGCAGGAAAAAACAGGAGACTGTGACTTTCTTATAAGGTTGTGGTGTTTTAACTTAAGAATTAAATTTAAACTTTAAAAATAACTGCCTCAGAGTCACAGGGCCAGTAAGTGGCGAGGCTGGCATGTGAGCACTGGCAGCCGAACCCTGGTGCCTGTGCCCCAGCTGCTTCACCTCTCTCTACCGATGACACACAAGAGTGACGGCCCTATTGGTGGTCACTGCATAAAGAGGGGACAGCCAGGCCCCCCTTATTCATTAACAATATCACGGGCTTGCAAAGCAGAAGCTGACGGCAAGACAATGGGCTGGAAAGACTGGCTGCTGAAAATGGTATCGGAGGAGATTTGCAGGCGGAAGCACTGAAGTTTTGTGGCGATCAAGCCAACAGTTTGTCCTTAGGGAAAGATTTAAAGGAGTTCAGATGATATGATCTGATTGGCTAGAAGAATGCAAAAAAAAAAAAAAAAATTCCTCATGGAGGGGTGGCATCTACAAGGATGCACCATTTCTGACTTTCTGAGAGAGCCCAGCTAGTCAAAGTGTAAATGAGATAAACTCAACACTGTCTCTGTTAAGAACTCTACTTCCTGTCTCCTCACCTGTACCTAGTCCTTCACAGCTTCTGTTGGTGGCCAAGGTGCTAGGGTGTGGGAGGACGCAGGTGGCAGCTCCCTGGAGGCAGCACCAAGATGTTCTTTGCAAGGCAGTCCTTAAACACCATACCCATGTCTCTGAGCTGAGACATGTGTGATGACCGCCACCCCACCCCCACCACGCACATGTCCCCAGCACTCCCCACACGGGCCAGTGTCCCACTAGGGGACACGCAATGCTGGCAGAGGGAGAGGAAAGTGGCAAACGCAACGAAACGATTCAAAGACTCCACTTCTAATTTTTTATAAGTAAAAGTCTTGAAAAGATGTGAGAACTTTTGCACACATTTAAAGCAAGAATAGTCTTTGCAACGCTCTGTATAATACCCAGAAGTATACCTACAGAAGCATGGAGGATGGGGCCAGCATTGTGGCGTAGTGGGTTAAGCCACTGCTTGGGATGCTAGTTTCCCATATGGGTACCTGCTTGAGATCTGGCTGCTCCACTTCCAATCCAGCTCCTGGTTAATGCGCCTGGGAAAGTGGCAGAGGATGGCCAAGTAGTTAGGCCCCTGCACCCACATGGGAGACCCGATGAAACTCCTGGCTCCCGGCTTTGGTTTGGCCTAGTACTGACCACTGTGGTTATCTGGGAAGTGAACCAGCGGATGGAAGATCTCTTTCTCTCAGTAACTCTGCCTTTCAAATAAATAGTTTTTTTAAATGCAGACTTTAATTTAAATGTTTAATTATCGCTTTAAAAAAATAGCTATCATGCCAGTTTTATAAGTTAAATTAAAAGAGTCATTTAAAAATATCCTGGAGAGAATGAATCTTAAAAGCCTAACACAGTGGCCTGGATTTTGTGACGAGCAAAGACAGAAAGAAAGACCAGACAACAAGGAGGCCACATGCTGCTGGACAGGGCCTACCTCAGAAGTCTACGGGTGTGAAGACACAGAGCCTGCTTGTCCGCTCTCCTGGCTGCATGGTGTCCCTTTTAGGAGTGCATCAGTTTATTTAGCGAGTTCCCTACTGATGAACACTCAGCTTGTCTCCAACAGCTCCCTGTTATAAACACTGAAGCAATTAAGATCTTTATACACACGGTTTTTGCTCACTCTCTCAGTTACAGCTCCAGGTTAAAATCCACTTAGAGATTTACAACCCTCTAGGGATTCTTTCATAAGTAAGTAAAAATAAAAAGTAAATCTCCCCCCTACTAGGATTAAAGGAGAAATTCAGAAATGCTGGGCTTAGAGTCCACCAAAGTGAACAATGAATAATGTCTATTTTAGTGAATAAGAGGTGCTAATTATTATTTCAGAGATGGTTGCTGGCTTACTAGGGTTAAGTGTGAAAACACTAAAAAGGATCTGTAATTACCTTTTTTAAAAAAGATTTATTTTATTTATTTGAAAGGCAGAGTCACAGAGGGAGCTAGAAACAGAGAGAGAGAGGTCTTCTGTCCACTGGTTCACTCCCCAAATGGCCGCAATGACTGGGGCTGGGCAGGCCGAAGTCAGGAGCCAGGAGCTTCTTCCAGGTCTCCCACGTGGATGCAGGGCCCCGAGCACTTGAGCCATCTTCTGTTGCTTTCCCAGGCCATAGAGAGAGCGGAATAGGAAGTGGAACAGCCGGGACTCGAACTGGCACCCATATGGGATGCTGGCATTGCACACCACAGTATCGGCCCCCGTAATCACCTTTTAAGGCACAAATGAATTCTATAGACCTCGGGCCCCAGGGGAGGAACAGGATGCTGGCCAGGACTTCTGCCACTAATATGAAGTAGGAATCACCTTCCCTGCCCTGGACTGAGCTGACTGAGCCCTCTCTTGATTTATCGGGGCCTTTCCTGCTACTGAACTCTACAAATAAAAGGAAGCTACCAGGACTGGTGACAGAAGGAGGAATAGAACTGTTTTAATTGCATGAGACTAAAAAAAATTCATGGAAAATGCATGTTATTATTTAATTCAAACTTTTTGAAGTCCCGTACACAGAAGGTTCTGTTTACAAACTTTGAGCAAGAGAAAACTGTGTATGCCAACAGTCACGGGTGTTAGGGTCACCTGCACAGTGTGAGTCTGGATGGGAGAAAGAAGAGGCAAGAATGGCTTTGCAGCAATCTGAAACAAGATGTTCCAACAAACAGAAGATAATAAGATCTAAGATACGGTATGAGACTGGTATAACCTTGAAATGCAAATTATATGCCATTCTCACTCATAAACATAGAAACAAAAATACAAACTACAGTATCTACAAACTGTGATATCAGAATACTACAATATTAGAACATATCATATCAAACATGACATGATCAAATAAAGTTTACCTCATAAATATAAGGATAGGTGAGCACTACAAACTCTATGAATGGAACTTATCACATTAACAGATTAAGGAACAACAACAAGAAACCACATGAGTACGCCAACAGACGTGGAAAGAACATTTGATAAAATTCAATGTTCAAGGGCTGGCGCTGTGGCTTAGCGGGTAAAGTCACCACCTGCAGCACTGGCATCCCATATGGGCGCCAGTTTGAGGACCGGCTGCTCCACTTCCAATCCAGTTCCCTTCTTCTGTGCCTGGGAAAGCGGCAGAATATGGCCCAAGTGCTTGAGCCCCTGCACCCACGTGGGAGACTGAAAGAAGCTCCTGGCTCTTGATCGGCCCAGCTCTGGCTGTTGCAGCCATTTGGGGAGTGACCCAGTAGATGGAACATCTTTCTCTCTTTCTCACTGTGCCCCCCGCCCCTCCGCCATAACTCTGACTTTCAAATAAACAAATAAATAAAACTTTAAGTAAAAAAAAATTCAATGTTCATTTAAAAAATTCAACCATAAAGTATCTCCATCAGATATTTATAGTAAATAGAACATGTGATGGTAAACAGAAGAATTTCCTTTAAAGTTAAGTACAAGTTAAGGATGACCAATATTAAACATTGTTTTGGAATTCCTACTCAGCTCATTGATGTCAGAATATTAAATAAGGGCCAGTGTTGTGGGGCGGCAGGTTAAGGTGCAACCTATGATGCCAGGATCCCAAATAGGCACTGGTTCGAGTCCTAGCTGCTCCACTTCCCATCCAGCCCCCTGCTAATGTGTCTGGGAGGGCAGTAGAGACTACCTATGAAGGAGACCTGGATGGATTTTCAGGCTCCTGGCTTCAGCCTGGTGCAGCCCTAGCCATTGTGGCCATCTGGGAAGTGAACTAGTCGATGGAAGATCTCGGTCTTTCTCTCCCCTCCCTCCCTCCTTCTCCCTCTATAACTCTGCCTCTCGAATAAATAATCTTAAAAATACATTAAATAAAAGGCATAGGGGGCTGGCATTGTGGCACAGGTCACCACCTGTGATGCTGGCATCCCATATGGGCAACAGATTGAATTCTGGTTGGTTCACTTCCAATCTAGCTCCTTATTAATGACATTTGGGGAGTGAACGAATGGATGGAAGCTCTCTCTCTTCCCCTCTCATTGTAACTCTGCCTTTCAAATAAGTAAACAACTCTTTTTTAAAAAAAGTATTAGAATTGTAAAGGAAGAAACAAAAGTATATCATTCACAAATGAGAAGACTGTCTTCAGAGCAAATCCAAGAGGATTCACAGAAACAATCAGAACTAATCAGAGCTGAGTTTAGAAGGATTGCTAGATAACAAATTCAATAAACTAGAATCAGTTACAATTCTTGCAAACCAAGGATAATTAGAATATGTAATAAAATTATTAAAACAAAAATTACAAAAAACCTTAGGAATTATTCCAACAAAGGAAATACTATATAAAGTTATACCATGTTCATGGATCACATAGTTGTCACTTGTTCCTGAAGTAAATACAAACGGGATTTTGTTTTGTTTTTGAAACTAAAGTTCTTATGGAAGAGTGGTGTTAAATCTATACGGGTGAATGAAGGAATAAGAACAGACTAGGCAATTCTGAAGACTATTTGGGAGCAGGGCTTTCCCTAACAGATACCAAAACATATATTCAAGTTATAATGGTGAAGACAATAGGATATTACAAAAGCCAATTAAAACAACAGCCAACAACTTCCATTTAGTAAAATACCACTAACGTGTCTTTGGGAACACTCTGGGAAAAGCCTTTGGGATCCTATGTTATTTAAAAATCAAGGTGTTTTAAGCTAACATTTGGGTGGAATTGTCCTTGATGCCCCGTAGTAAAAATGATTATATAGAAATAAAGTATGGTATTTGTTTTGGTTTGCACAGGATTTGTCTCCCTAAACTCAGGCAGATGTCTAAATCCCCCAAATGTTACAGTAACAGTTGGTGTATTAATGCTAATGCATTGAGGGTGGAGACTTTATCTGGGAGTTGGCCTAGGGGCTGGTCCTCAGGTCCCTGGGGACTTGTTCTTGGAAGGCAATTCTCATGAGAGGGTTGGCTATACAAGCCAAGTGTGCTTTCTGTCCCGCTGCTTCCTGGCTTGCCACGTGACTGTCCCTTTGCCATCTTCTGGCCTCACCAGATACCTAAACCAATAGGGACCCCCAGTCTTGGATAGGAAACCTCCAAAACTGTAAGTGAATACAGAGCTTCTTCCCTCCTAAATCGTTCCTCTCAGGTAGTTTGGTTACAGTCCCTAAAGCTGACTAACATGGTGGTTAAAATACAGATGCTGGTGCCAAGCTTCATGGAATTCTGCCCTGGTTCTGTCACCTAACTGCTGTGTGACACTAAGTAAGCCTCTGCGCTTCAGGGTCCCTATTTGTTAAACAGAGACAAATACCTTACTCTGTTGTTAGGGGATTAAATCACTTAACAGTCATAAAGTGCCTGGCATAATAATGGAATATTTGTTATTAGGGTTCAAGTATCATTAAGGATTTATAACTGTTATCACTGTAGCACAACTGTTACCTTACACTTCTATAACACTTTATAAACTCTCACCATTTCCTGTCTTTGTGATCTCATTCTACCATTAGAGAACCTACATGGAGGTACCTGTAGGGATACAGACGGTTCCAGCTCTTGGCTTCCATGAGTCTGGTGTTTCAACTGTAAAATGAAGGGTTAATCTCCAGGGCTCCTTTTGGCTTAAAAAAATCTTTTCTATTTTATAAGAAAGAAAGTTAAGGCAAAGAGATGTTAACTGTCTTGCCTTAGGTCAAAGAGAGATACTAGCATAGTTAATTTGCATTCCAAAAATACAGTAATAATTTCTCTAGACTCTCTGTGTATCTAAATCTCTCCCTGGAACTATAAGCAGATATTGAGGAAGGAATTCACTTGGGGACCATTTTGAGTATTACAGATATAGTCCAATGGCTGGCAGAACCTAACTGCTTCCCAGGGAGGCAGTTCTTGTGAGAACACTGATATGGATGATGGCAATACCAGTAGTAGTACAGACGCAGACCTTTACCTGGGCGAGCAGACCTGGTTGGATTTGGAGTGGCTGAGCTCCTGGGGCTTGAGTGACGATGGGCACTGCATTCTCCATCCTCACTGAGTAGCCAGCATGCTTGGAGGGAGAGGCCTGCAAGCCTAGCCAGGCACGGGTGAGGGAAAGACAGGTGGGTGAGTGATTCAAACTGCTGCACCCAGAGCCCCTGCCTAGCCAGTCTTTCAACTCCCAGTCTCCACCCACCAACCGAGCACTTTCTAGTCCTGGAGAGGTCCCCCTTTAGTTTCTAACTTAAATTAGAGTCCCCCCACCCCCTGGCAAAACAGAAACATCCTGAAATGAAGGCTACAAGTAGAAATTCAGGAACCTGGAGGGCCAAAAGTGGAACCGTTAGGCAGCAAAGTTAGAGCCAGAAAACAAGGGCTTCTGACTATCAGAATGTATCAAGATAGGGTTGTCAGGGAGAGCACATGTGACTCCCATCTGCAATTGCATTGGTTGAAAGTGAGCAATTACACATGTGTGTACACCATGAGGTTTGCAAAAATAAATCCTTAAGCTTGTCTATGTGAATTGTAACAGGCACACAGACAAGTTTAGCTTCCTAGCATCCACAGGAGAGGAGTGTGCAGCCGTGGCCAAAGCCTGGTTTGGGGTGGGGGCCCTGGGACGTGCATGTGAACTGGGACTGTGTTGGCTGTCAGAGATGGGCAATTTTCTATAGATAACCCACAGAGGAAAAGCAAGAGCTGACATCAGCATAACAATAGGAGCACAAACAATGTGCATATTAACAGACAGCTGGCAGGGACCACACTCCCTGGCAGGTGGTGAGAAGAACAACAATTGACTTGGTGCTGAAGCACAGATCCTTTTGTTTCTAGGCTGGCTACAGTAGGCTGGGAGCCCGCAAGTCCAGCAGGGCAAGAAACAGGCAGGGTTTTGTACCGTGAGAGTGAGCGTCATGGGACGTAGCAGGTGCCACAGCCCCAGAGGCTGTCCCGTGAGAAGTAGGCAAGAGGCTGTGCCTGCCTCTCCTTCTTACCTTGGAAGCCGGGGGGACACACGATGAGGGCTTGCTGGAAGGGGTCGGGCCGGGCGCAGATCTGGGCTGTTCCCGTCTGCAGGGGCATGCTCCGCTGGGCCACGGCAGCCATGGATGCCGCTGAGGGCTGGTAGAGTGTAGATTGGTAGTTTAGTATGGAGACTTCGGGATTGGCTAAGGAAATAGTGGCACTGGTGGAGGTGGGAGCCTAAAGGAATGATGGGGATTAAACAAAAATAAACAAAAATAAAAAATGAGGGAGGTGGTATGTCGGGAGACATGAATCTAAATCAAATAAAGGAACTCAAAGAAGAACAAACGAACAAATAAAAACCAAGAGCAAAAAGCGAAGTCGGGGAGGAGAGGACACCCAGCCGAAAGGCCCGGGGAAGAGAGGGCACCTGAAGCCACAGCAGACAGAGTCCCTTTGATGTTGCTAGCCAAGCCTGCTCCTAACGCTCTGGGGCCTGCACAAGAACACAGTGATAGCGGGCTGGAAGACTGTTTGATAAAATGCCCCACTCTTCCTCCTCACCCTGAGCTCAGGCGCTCACATTGCACCTCTGCAGGAGCATGGTGACAGGGAGCTGCACCCTGCCTTCACCCCCTGTCCTAGATCTGTCCCACAACCGAAGGGCTTTGGTGCACACACAAAGGTGCCTCGAGAAGTCTACAGGGCTGGTAATCGAAAGACGAGTTTATTTCCGTACAAAACACGCATCCTTTTCCATGACGTGCGTTGTCCGTGAACGTTTTGGAGTTCTCTGGTATTCTGTGCTACCAGCCTGCGTGTCCAGCTTTGCTCACGTTCCCCGCCCCTCGGGCCTGATGATGCAGCCCACGTCTGGGAGGCAAATCCAGGAAGGGGTTCCTGCAGGCCTTGAAGACCCTGGCTTCCAGGCACCCAGAGCCTTCCCCAGAAGGGAGCCAAGAGCAGGGCCTGGAGCTCTCGCTGAGGGGAGGGCGGCACTGCTCTTAGGGACTCAGGTGGCTGCAGAGAAGGCAGTGACGGAAACACCCAGAGGCAGAGAGGGCACGCTGAGCCTGGGGCTCCTCATCTGAGTTCCTTCAGTTGTGGGGCTCCTCATCTGAGTTCCAAGAACCCGTGCCCGTGTTCAGTCACAGCAGGCAGAGGGAAAGATGCCAGGTCAACGAGTCGAGGGATTTTAAATTGACAACAAGTCCTTGAAAAGACGTCATCCTTTCCTGTCTTTAGGAAATGCAGACATCATTGGAGATTAAGCTGCTAGTGAAGCAAGGCCAGAGCGCAAATGCCAACTGGGGAACGCTCCATTTCTATCCATCTTAACCTTCACACTCATCCAAGGCAAGCTGGGGCCAGTACTGAGGTGAGCAGGCTGAGCTGCCACCATGACTCCAGCATTGCACAGCAGGGCCCCAGCTGCCCTGCTTCCAATCCAGCTCCCTGCTAATGCACCCGGGAAAGCAATGGAAGACGGCCCAAGTACTTGGCTCCGGCTGCTCATGTGGGAGACACAGATGGAGTTTAGAGTACCTGGATTCAGTCTGGCCCAGCCCCAGCCATTGTGGCCATTTAGGGGAATGAACCAGTGGATAGCGGATCTCTTTCTCTCTTCCTCTCTCTGCCACTCTGCCTTTCAAATAAACAAGATAATAATAAGATATGTGGAGGTCATGCATGGCTTCTTCATTGTCTACAAGTCTCTGCCTCTAGAAGTTACCAGGATCAAGGAAAAGGGGGAGAAGAGTTACAGGGATATCTTGGACACACAACAGATTAAGTAGGGTCCATGTATGTGCCACATTTGATAGAAAAGACAAAGTCTCATGTATGTTTTCTAATCCTTAGAAAGGTTTTGTGCTGCATTTCAGTGCAAAGCAAGCTGATTTGAAAAGAACCACTAGATAGGTGGCACCCATATTTGGGTGTTCAGACACACACATACACAGGTGTGGGATTTTGTAGCATCACCTGCTCTGTGTGTGCACATGGAGGGCCAGCGTCCCTGCTCAGTCCCTGACGACGTGATTTGTGTTTCCTGCTTTCTCCATACCACCATGGCTTCCCATGTAGAAATTCCCCACTGTCTGCTCAGGTTCTGTGTGCCAAAGTCCAGGTTCCTCAGCCTTGGCACCCATGGGCTTCCTGCGGGGGCTCCTGGCACCAGTGTCCTCCAGGCTCCCAGGCTTGGCCTTAGTTGCCCCACCAGGCAGTTACTGCTCCTGCCACTTCTGCCTTCCAAGTGTCCTGGAACACACTGACTCTTTAGTTGCTGCCTCCTGGAGCCTGGGAGCTGCAAGGCCTGCCTTCCACTCTTGCTCCTCCAATGCTTCTTGCACACAGAGGCTAGACCATCCTTTCCCAAACACTACTCTGCCTATCAGCACGCTGCTCAAGAAGTCCCAGTGCTCCCTCACGAACGCGGCTGTGCAGCTGCACTTCTTGTTGCCCACGGTCTGGCCAGCCTTCCCTCGCCAGGGAGACGAGTCAGTGCAGTGCTGTGAGCACAGGCCTTCAGGCACACAAGTCTTTTGGTCCCCAGCCTTCTCCCTAAGCCTTGGGCTTCCAGGCCCAGCCTTGGTGCCCTGCCCTGCACAGGGAACCCTGCCTTTCAGCAGAGTGCAGCCTCTGGCCCCGCCCTGGTGACTCTGTCCTACAGTACGGCCGGCCTCCAGGATGAGCTCTCCTTTGGTGTTTGACTCCAGCCTGCCATGAGCTCTGCACCACAACCTGCTCATTTCACCCAGCCCTTAGGATGCCATTCTGCATTCTGTCTCCCTGTTTTCGCTCATGGCCTGGTCTCCCCACCTTAGGATGCCATTCTGCATTCTGTCTCCCTGTTTTCGCTCATGGCCTGTCTCCCCATGGAGCCCACGAGCACTTTGAGAGGTTGAACGTCTCAGCTCTTTGTAGACTCGAGGACAGAGCTTGTGTCCTGACACGGGCCACAGTCTCCAGTGTGACCACTGTGAATGCAGATGGTTCTCTCCCAGCTTCTAATCCTGCTTAAGAAGCACACGTGCAGGTGACAAAGCCTCCTGCTTCTCTACACCCTCCACAGCTCTCAGGGGGCACAGGAAGAATTTGCAAGAGCTGATGCAGCTCACAGAAATGAGAAGACAAGTTTATTGGCAACACAGGTTTTCCAAACATGCAAGTGATTCCTGGAAGCCTTGTAACAGATGTTTCAATGATTTGACATCTAGAATGGGATTTGAGCTTGGTTTATACATTTTGATGAAAATTCCTGGTGGAAGGCTAGGTGCACAGAAATTTTAAGAGAAATGGCTGAACCATGGGATTAAACAAGAAACAGTCAAGACAGGAGTCCTCTACCTGCTGAGCCACTTCAAAGTCTCAGAACGTACAGAGGCAGCTTCCTTCACACTTACAGGGTTAAAACATTGGGGGAATGTCCTTTAGTTACTCTACGTGGATATATGCTGAGGGCTGCAAGGAACTTGTCCAGACAGTTTAATATCCTTTATTTCAAACATAACTATCAGTGTATTTTACTGCTGGTAAAGGCAACCACCACCAAAGAACTCATGCGGAAAGCAAAGTACCAGACGCATGAATGCACACAGAAAGCCTTGTTGGAGCTAAAGAGCAGAGGCCACCTAGGATGGGCATTTGTGGACCTCCATAGACTCAGCTGGCACTATGTGTGTGTCCGTGTGTGTTATAAGTGTTCAGACTCTAAAGTCCCAGGCCCAGGGAACAAAAATAACAACATCCGTCCTCAGTGTTGCTGGGAGGACTAAGGGTTATGGCATGCTTAGAAGAGTCTGGCACACAAGGAACGGTAGCCGTCTGTAGTGTTATTATCTATAACAACACGAACAGAGGAGGGACAGTATACTTCAGTACCAGGCTAGCGGTCTCCCCAGTAATTTCTTTTATATATTCAAAACATAGTAGAATTCAGTGCAGGAGAACAGAGATCTGTTCTCAGAAGCCTGGCCGTTGAAGGCTGCCCTTTCCCTGAACCTAATACTCTGGCCCAAGCATTGTACTAAGTCAGCAGCCACTGCTACTTCACCCCAGTCCCGAGCCACATCGGGATCGTGTCAGGGCTTGCAGAAGGGTGTTATTCCGTAACTGCCTTCTTGATAGGGAGTGGAATAGATGGGCCAGCTGTCACGCCGTGGGTAGGATGGAGGTGGCCCTTGCTGGGAAGGTCGGGGACCCAGGCCTCTAATCTAGGGGAACACATACATGGAAAGGACAGCTCGACACAGGTGCACCTCGGAGGGACACCTGTCCCTCTGCCACCTCTGACTGCCTGGGGCAGATAGATGGCAGTTACCGATAGGGAGCCTGGACTAGAATTGATATCAGCTATCTCATGAAGACTGAAAAGCAAAGCTCTTCAAGAAGGCAGGGGGTTGAGGGCCTGGTGACACTCTGTCAAGAAGCCCGCAGGCCTGGCTGGGGACGCCTGCGCCTTGGTGTTGGGTTCTGTAGACTCAGCACTGGCGAGCCTGGAGAACACCATGGCCCCCAGGGAACAGCAGTGCCAGGTACCGGGCAGAGGGGGAGACGACGGGGGCAGTGAGGCTTGATCTTACGTGAACGGCCCAGGTGAGCAGGGCGGGCAGGGGCAGAGACTCTTCAGTGATGGGGAGCTGTCGATAATGGGAGACCCCTGAGGCTTAGGACATCTGTGCTCCTCTCCCCTGGAGGGACATGTGTGCACACACACAGCAGACTGACACACAACTGCAAAACCGGGGGCCACCTCCTGGAGCGAGCTGGTGAGACTGCAGGTGGGAGTCCAGTGAAGAGGCCCCGGGCTCTCGTGCCAGCCTGGGCCTTCTGTTTGCAGCTGCTGGGGTCCTGGCGACATTTCCCCCATGGCTCGGAGAAAGGACGGGTTTTACCTGTCCTGAAAGGAGACCCTGTGGGGTCCGGTCCCAGGCCCAGCGAGGGCACATGCTGAAACGGAGGCTGCCTGAGTCTCTTCCAGCCCCAGGACTGTTAGGCATGGACAGGTCAGCCCATTGCTCTCCCTGCTCCTGCATCGGCACTGAGGGGAGCTGGAAGAGGCACCAGCTCAGAGAGAAGTCCCTAATGAGTCCTTTCTGGAAGCTTTCAGTGAGGCCAGTGCTCAGCACAGAGGGCCAGGATCTCTCACAAGCCCTTCCTTTCAGAGTGGACTATGGCAATAGCGCACTTCTGTCTCTACTGCCGTGGTGGGCAAATAGGAGTGCTGATCCCAGGCTGTGTGGCCCGGCCCATCCCCACCCCGGTCCCTGCTTACCTGGTTGTGGACAGTGGTCAGCTGGTTGTTAAAGGTCATGGTCAAGTTGGTGGATGTGCTGGGGGCCACATGTGTGATGAAAGGGGTTTTGCTCTGGTTCACTGTATCATACATATTCACCCGACGTTTGCAAATCTCCATGTTCTGGAAACAGGATTTGACACTGTCCACGTAAAAGGCAGAGGCAGACAGGGACGCAGGGGGAAGGGGGGAGGGTCACATGGAGACAGGGAAGAAAGTTGGGGAGAAAGAGAGAACAGTTAATCTAGGAAACAAGACGACCAGGGAAACTCGTCTAAGCCTCCTAGATTTTTGCAGGCTGTGCCTGCGTGACAGTCAATGTTAGGATTATTTAGCTGAATTTCCCACATGTCCTACTAACACTCTCTCCTCATCCTACTCACACACACCAGAGATCTAACTGTTCTCGCTGCACTCCCCTCACACGGCTGATCAGCCTACAACTTCACTTTCACTCTCAGCTCTCCTTGAGGTTTCCGGTTCATTAGTGTGTGATCTCTGATTGGGAAAAGCTCTCCTAAGACAACCCCAGTGTTCATCTTCTCCTGCTCCCCTGGGTGACCAGCACCATCTAGGGGACAGACAGGGAACTCTACAACCCAGTGTCCAGCGTCATGGCTGCCACCACCCCTTCTTCCCTCTGGAAAGAAAACAGTAATAGCTACTGTTCACTGAGAGCAGTAGAAGGGGTTGCAACCTCTCCCCCTTCCTGACACCCTCCAGGGAGAGACTGAATTGCTGTCCCTACTGCCCAAGCACAGCTGACACACGGGGTCAGGTACTTGGTGCTCTGGCGGTCCGCACACGCACAAGTGGTACATATCCTCTTTAGTTCCTGCATCATTCATTTTTATTTTCTAATTCTTGTTTAGTTACCTAAAATAGAATTTTGTGCCCCGTTTTCTTCACTGCATTTGTGGATCAAAAACAAAACCCTGGGGCTGGCACTGTGGTGTAGTAGGTTAAACCTCCGCCTACAGAGCCTGTAAGGGCGCTGGTTCAAGTCCCAGCTGCTCCACTTCTGATCAAGCTCCCTGCTTATGCACCTGGGAATGCAGCAGAAGATGGTCCACATGCTTGGGCCCCTGCACCCACATGGGAGACCTGCAAGAAGCTCCTGGCTCCTGGCTTTGGATTGGCCCAGCTCTGGCTAATGCAGCCATTTGGGGAGTGAACTAGTGGATGGAAGACATCTCTCTGTCTCTCTCTCTGTCTGTAACTTTGCCTCTCAAACAAGTTAATAAATCTTAACAAAACAAAAAAACAAACAAACAAAAAAAACCCTAATTACAAGTGCTGATACCAGCAGCAAAGAAAAGGAAAGCCACAGCGACCTCAACCGTTCAAGTTCTTGGAATGCACCATGAAGGGTCCTTTGGGATGTATATTCTGCTCCTCGTTCACTTCTGTGTTTTCTAAGTAAACTTACTTTCTTTCCAATGCTAATACTCAAGATAATGAAATCCCACTTATCTTCAGTTCAGAATGTCTATCTTAATTATAAATAATGTAATAATAACTGAGTGTAGTAAGATAATGGTTTTCTACTATTAAGATTACAAGTGTCTATTTCTTTTTTTTTATACTTCTAAAAAATATTTATTTTATGCATTTGAAAGAGTTAGAGAGGTAAAGACACACAGAGAGGTCTTCCATCCTCTGGTCCACTCCCCAAATGGCCACAACAGCTGGAGCTGAGATGATCCGAAGCCAAGAGCTTCTTTCGGGTCTCCCATGTGGGTGCTGAGGCCCGAGCACTTGGCCCATCCTCCAGTGCTTTCCCAGGCACATTAGTGGGGAGCTGGATGCTAATGGAGCAACCGGGACTTGAACCAGTGCCCACATGGAATGCTGGAGCTGCAGGCTGGGGCTTTAACGTACTGTACCAAGTGCCAGCCCCAAGTGTCTGCTATTTCTGGATGCTGTGGGTATGCTCTATTGTGGGCCAAGCAGATGCCTGTGAGCTATGAGAAACACATTCTAAGTTTCAAGCCACCAACCCAGACATGATGCAGAGAATCTGACTTCTTTCTCAGTTAATGACTACTTACACTGGCCATGTAAAATGACTCACGACACTGAAGAGAAAACACATTCCCCAGTAGTCATCTAAAACACTGCTATTAATACTGCTGATGGTGCTGCTAGCGTCAGTGCTCTGAGTCTCTACTACGCGCCAAGCACACTGTCACATGCTTCTCACGGAAGCTGGAGCCATGAAACAATGCATTCTGTATTCTTTTTGGAAAGCACGTGATGTCTTGTGACAATTCAATATGGTTTCCAGGCTCCTTCAGAACCTCTTAACTGAAATGGGTGGCCTTTCAGGAAGAGGCAGCTCCTTTCCCTCCGAATCAGGAAGACTGGTTTGTAGAGAATCCGCAGAGTGGAATCCTGGCATGCAGCAGTGAGGGGGGCTCTTCCGCAGAGCCGCCCAGATGTCGGAGGAGCTGTGGCTCAGTCGCAAGGGTAGGGGTCTGCAGCAGGATGAGCCTGGGCATACTCTCCCCTCCCCGCCCCAGTTCCCCGAGATCTCCCCAGGGAGCTCTAGGGACCCTGAGGGATTAGGTCGACTCTCAGGCAAGACTACGTGTTCTCAGGGACCTGCCTTTCCTTCTTCAGCCATGTCTGACTTCTCTTTCTGGGTCCCATGACAAGTTCTGAGTTTGCTGCTGAAGCTCCGCGTGGTCACGTGAGCTCCCGTGAGCAAGCACAGTGAGGCATTCCATTGAGGCCTCCTTCTAGAACCTAGAGATGGACAGCGTCTATCACTCAAGCAAGCTCTGGCTTCCTGGGGCTGACTGTCTCCCCACTTTGGTGCAGACGGCTAACAGGAGAGCTCTGAGAGCATCTCCCATCTCCCCTCCAGGGCTGCTCCTCACTGCTCCAACCCTACCCTTGCATGTGAAGACAGCTCTTCCGGGAGCCTTCTCTCCGAGTCTGGCTTTTCTTCTCGAGCTACCTCCTTGGCTGACTCCTAACCACATTCAGGAACAGGATAAATCCTACAACAAGAGTTTGGAAAAGATAGGTCCAAACTCCTTCTGTGTGCTGGAGTTTGGCTGTTTCGAACTTGCTCCTTAAAGAGGCACTATGTGGTTGTCAAAATGTGATTTGACTTGCTTCACTGACAGCTAAGAGAACTGGAGTGGAGGAAGCACCCTGCGGTGGGGGCCATCCACCCACTTCCTGTGGGTTGCCTAAGGTCAGGTATGGTCTGAGACGCAGCCCAATCTTATCTTAGCACACCTCCCCAGGCTCCTCCCCAGCCCCACCGTCTCCCTCTCCCTGCTGACCTGGGGCTTCCCGCTTCCTCCTTCCTCCTGAAGACGTGTGGGGATGTGATTAGTTACTCTTTGTTTCCAGCAGCTCCAGTGACAACATCCTGCACTGCTCCTCACCCACCAACGACCTCTTCTCTCCCCTCCTTCGCTGGGGCCTTTGCCACGGGCTCGGTTTTCCTCCAGCCATTTGCCGCCTGCCCGGGAGGACTTTGGAAGCCACATGCCCTAACTTCTCGGTTCTTCCTCATCTCAGTGACCTTGTCCTCAATTCCAGGCACTGTCAAACCCGGAGGAGGCCCTGACTCCAGAAACCACAAACCAATCGTCCTGTTTCCCGGCCACATTCTCCACCACCCGTGCTCACTCACGACTCCGTGCCAAGCACTGCCCGAGTTGACCAACAAACCTGTTTCATTTGACCCCTCCCACCTTCACTTCTCTTCCCTTCCACTGAGCTTCCAACGGCCACCATTTTGGATGACAATTACTCTGTTGCCAGTATCAACTTCCTTGTCAGTATGGCAAAATTCCAGCTCACAGAGTACCAACTTCTCTGTTTCCTCTCCGCCTTCACCCATGGGGGATCCGTTACACTAGACTGTGCACAGCCAACCCCAGCACTCGGTAAGTCCACCGTATTTCTCTGGTCAGTTTGCTCTGCTCCTTTTGCTCCAGCTACTTCCTTCCCTTCCTAAACCAACTGCCTTGTTCTCAGCAGATAACCTCATTGCCTGGTTCCTACCTGAGCTCCCTCAACTCCGGTCCACTGAGTCAGTGCACCTGCCAGCACCCACACACTTCTTGGCCCCTCGCTACCTGTGCCCTGAGTGCCAGCCCCCACACCGCTAAGGAGACTTATCCTGAGTGTCTCTTATCCAGATCCCGCCTCCCAGCACCTGACACTGCTCGTCTCCTCTGCCTTCAAAACAGTCCCTCCTCAACTCCTCCCGGTCACTGCCTCCCTTCTTCAAAGGCTGCTACCCTCTCTCACTGACCTTCTGCCTGCTACCCTGTTTTCTGCTCCTTCTACTCCATTGCAATGGCTGTCACGAAGCTACCAACAACTCCTGGGCTGCTAAATCCAATGGACATTTTCCCCAGACTTGTTCTATATGTGTGGCACATAGATCTGTTTCAACATTCCCTTGCTAAAAAATCATCTTTTAATGGCTTCCCAGGGCTCTTGGGATAAAGATGAGATCCTCCCCAGGTAGGGATTGCCCCCCAGCTTACCCTGGTGGCCTCAGCACCCCGCCCACCGACCCCCAGGTCTGGAGCTTGACCCTGCCCATGCAGGAGTGATGCAGGCATGTGTAGTGCCCACACCTCTCCTCACCCCCAGGTCTGGGGCTTGACCCTGCCCATGCAGGAGTGACACAGGCACGTGTAGTGCCCATACCTCTCCTCACCCCCAGGTCTGGGGCTTGACCCTGCCCATGCAGGAGTGACACAGGCACGTGTAGTGCCCACACCTCTCCTCACCCCCAGGTCTGGGGCTTGACCCTGCCCATGCAGGAGTGACACAGGCACGTGTAGTGCCCACGCCCCTCCTCACCCTCAGAGGTCAGGTGCCCAGAGTCTTCTGTGGCCTGCCCCAGGCCAGGCTCCCTCGTTATATGCTCACGTTGCACCCTGTCCCTTTCCCGATGACAGCCTGGTGATGTGGCTGCCACTGGTCTTACACCTTTCTCTGTCTTATAAACCAGAATCTCCAGGAGGCGGGGGCTTCCTCCACTATGCTCACCTAGCACCTACCCCAGCACCTAGCAAAGCACACAGCACACGGCATCCAAATGAATGAGCAAATCCAAGTGCAAACTAGACTGAGTCACTCCAGGCTGGTCTGGGAGCACCTCTGGGTGCTGACACTGGGTTTGCTCGGTGGATACTGCCGCCGGGGGCACTGCCCTTGAAGCAGATGCCTGAGCCTGTTCACCCAACCTTGCATTCTCCTGTGCTCCACTCTCCAGAGTGTGGCCCAGGTCCCGATCCGGCCACTACCTGTTCTTACAAACGTACTGGAATGCAGCCTTACGCGTCTGTCCACGCGTGGCATCTAGGGTTGTTTTCATCAGTAACGCCAGAGTTGAGTTGCTGCAACAGAGACTAGATGGCTGCAAACCCTATCTGGGCCTTTAAGAAAACGCACGTGCTGTGAGCTCTGAAAAAACATGGAACAAGACACCTACTGTGTACTATGGGGAAAATCGAGTAGGTGCGTCATGGTGACAAAGGGGTGGTTCAGGGTTTCGATCGGAGTGATTCTCTTATCCGCATCTATGGTCAGCATCTTCTTCAACAGGTCAATGAACTCCCGCCGGTCTGCCTTTTCCACTAACATGTCGCTCCCTTCCAGATCTGTCGTCATGTTCACCTGCAAGCAAGCAGGGACCGGTTACCGAGAGCCCAGGGTGCTGCCCCTCTTGAAGCAACGTCCTCTCTCCCTGCAGGGGCCTCCAGATCCCTCACGCCAGCTTTCCAGCCCAGGATGCTGCGCTGTGCTGGGGACGGCATCAGCCCACACGCGGTTGTTGCCAAAGGACGCAGCCCGGCAAGGGAAGAGTGGGAGGGGAGCAGGCTGCTTGCAGGACCTAAAATACACCTCCTCGGCAGGACACAAACCACATCTGCTCTATCAGTTAAGATGCAGCTCTTATCACACCTCATTAAAAACAGCCACAAGGGGCCGGCGCCGTGGCTCACTAGGTTAATCCTCCGCCTGCGGCGCCAGCATGCCACATGGGCGCAGGGTTCTAGTCCCAGTTGCTCCTCTTCCAGTCCAGCTCTCTGCTGTGGCCCAGGAAGGCAGTGGAGGATGGCCCAAGTGCTTGGGCCCCTGCACCCGCATGGGAGACCAGGAGGAAGCACCTGGCTCCTGGCTTCGGATCGGTGTAGCTCTGGCCGTGGCGGCCATTTTGGGGGTGAACCAACGGAAGGAAGACCTTTCTCTCTGTCTCTCTCACTGTCTAACTCTATCTGTCAAATAATAATAATAATAATAATAATAATAATAATAATAATAAAACAGCCACAAGACAAACAGAGTTCTGGAGACTGGTTGCATGACAATGTGAATGTACTTAATGCCACTGAACCGTATGCTTAAAAAATGGCAAGATGGTAAATTTTATGCTATGTGTTTTAGTGCAATTAAAAAATTACAACCAAACAGTAAAAAATAAGACGCAAAAAAGGGTTATTTGTTTAACCTCTGGAAGGAAGTGGAAGGGCTGAAGTGACTTCTTCCCCCGTCTCCAACACAATACCCTTCTCACGCTTCCCGAGTTCAGGCCAGAACCTTTCAGTCCCTGTGTTTACTGTGGTCTCCTCTGGCCGAGATGGGCAGGGTATCTGAACACAGTTTCCAAGATAAGTCTACACTGGGGTAGCCTTTCTATTTTCTCTAAGACATGCTCTGGAAACCAATTTCAGTTTTCTCAGACAATCTAAGCTGCTCATCAACTGACAAGTATGCTTCATTCAGAATCCTGATTTTTGGTTATACTCATCTGCAGAAAGAGATGTGCTAAGTGATTATTGGTCTATGGCTTTTATTTCTCATGCTTTAAAGAAAAACTCACTTTGCTTGCCCTGAGTTTTAGACTAGTCTTCACAGTAAAAGTAGCTGAAGTTCTAGAATCTTCTCCAAGGCACAAAAATGAGTCTGGGAACCCTACCTGTGAGCTGAGGGAGACTGAGTGTGGAGGCTTGAGTTGTGTCTCTCCAAAACTACGTGGTCAAGTGCTAATTCCTGGTGACTGTGGTATGACCTTATTTGGGAAGAAGGTCTTTGCAGATGTAATCAAGTGAAGATGTGGCTATACAGGATGAGGGGGGCGTACACCCGACAGCTAGTGTCTTCTGATGAGAAGAGAGGTGGGCTCTGAGACAGAGGTGAGGGCCGTGTGGAGAGCAGGCTGACGCTACAGCACTGCGGCTGCACACCGCGGGACGCCGAGGACTGCCAGGATGCTCTGGTGCGGGGACACGGCGGCTTTTCCCTGGGGCCTTGAGAGGAAGCACGGCCCTGCACGTGCCATCTTTACAGACTTCCTGAACTCCGAGAAAACACACACCTCTTGTCTTAAGCCACCCAGTTCTCCGTATCTGGTTAGAGCGATCCTGGGAAACTAATAGGCTGCATCATGGGCCCAAATACAGATGTGCTAATGGGCTGGAATTCCTCTCATGGAAAAAAGTCTCCTAATTTGGCCAGCACTGTTTTGCTAATGAGAACCAATGGATGGAAACTATTTTAAGCATTTTTATGCAAGAGACCTGCAACAGCTGGGGGTCAGGGGCAGGGCTGGGGACTCACCCCGGGTCTCCCACGGGGTGGCGGGCACCCAGCCACCGCAGCCATCACTGCTGTCTCCCAGGGTCCATGTTGGTTGGGGCTGGAACCAGCAGTGGTGTCAGGTGCTGAACCCGGCACCCCAGGGTGGGACCCTGGCCCGAGGCTTGACTATGTGGCCAGACGCCTGCCTGGGAAGCTGCTGCTGAAGAGCTGGGGTACACAGAGCAAACGGGCATCTGGCCAAGGCTGCCTGCTGCCTGGGGTCGCTCAGGAGAGTCACCTGAGAGAAGACGTCCGCCCCCCCCCCCCCAGCCTCCTGCCGCACCGGAGAGAGAGTGAAGGGGCTTTCCTTGCGTACTCACGCACAGAGCTCACCTGGGCCATGTCATCTAAACAGTTGAAAATGTACTTTCTGGCTTCTTTCGACTTAATCCCCGTCTCTGCTTCATGGTCATCCGGTGTCTACCAAGAGAGGCAAAGGCCAGTCAGCCCTGGGCTTGTCCTCAGTGACCGCGGCTCGGCTCGGCTTGTGCTCGGCCCTCAGTGACCAGGGCTCAGCCCACGCTTGGGCCTGGGCTCGGCCTTCAGTGACCGTGGCTCGGCCCGTGCTCGGCCCCGGGCTCATCCTTAGTGACCAGGGCTCGGCCTGCATTCGGCCCCGGGCTCGTCCTCAGTGACCGCGGCCCACATCAGCAGCCCTCTTACAGAGGGTCCCCTCCCGACTCAGAGAAGGAGAACGGTTGCTCTCGGAGTGACCTGCACACTCATTTCTTTCTCTAGTCATCCACACTAACTCATGCCTCCTCCCCAGGGACACCTGTCGTGGCCTGTTCCGAGTCTGGGACCCAGCCCTGGTCACCCTCAGCCTTCCCAAGGTGGACACTTTGTTGTGGAACAGCAGAAGCCTTTTCCCACATGCTGCTACATTTTAAAAATTATCTAATTTATTAAGTCCTTATTCACACAGCCCTAACTGTGTGCCAGACACTGCTCTACAGCACATGAACTCCCTCAGCGTCTGCACATGCATGTCACGCAGGGTTACCATCCCCATTTTCCGGACGGAAGGCCAGGGACACACCCACGTTTCAGGGCCACGAGGTGGCAGGTGGGTCTGGAGTCAGTGCTCAGAGACACCATTTCCTCGCTGGCTTGGGAAACTGCTGTTCCAATTGTTGTGGGTTTTCTGGGTTATCCATGGGTCAGGGGTCATTAATCCTCCAAAGGACAGCACACCTGGCCCAGCTTAAACCCTGGGAACAGCTGGACTTGCAGGGATGCCCCCTGCCCATTCCACTCAAGGACTTTTCACTGGACACGACCTTGACGTTCATCCTCCCACAACAGCCTGAGTGTGCTTGTTTCTCCTTTCACAGTCTTTGCAACTACTGGCCACATACTCTCTTTAAACTACCTAAAGTTGACAGTTTAGGCCGGCGCCGCGGCTCACTAGGCTAATCCTCCGCCTAGCGGCGCCGGCACACCGGGTTCTAGTCCCGGTCGGGGCGCCGGATTCTGTCCCGGTTGCCCCTCTTCCAGGCCAGCCCTCTGCTGTGGCCAGGGAGTGCAGTGGAGGATGGCCCAGGTGCTTGGGCCCTGCACCCCATGGGAGACCAGGAAAAGCACCTGGCTCCTGGCTCCTGCCATCGGATCAGCGCGGTGCGCCGGCCGCTGCGCGCCGGCCACGGCGGCCATTGGAGGGTGAACCAACGGCAAAAGGAAGACCTTTCTCTCTGTCTCTCTCTCTCACTGTCCACTCTGCCTGTCAAAAAAAAAAAAAATAAATAAATAATAAAAAAAAAGTTGACAGTTTATACTGGCTGTGGTTCTGTCAGAAAGAAAGAAAAAAAAATCGTCCACCCAGTCTCCCTCTAAAAAAAAACACCTAAAGTGAATATAAAATATATTTAGAGATTTAAAATTTTTTTTCCTTCCCAGAAAAATGTATTAATTTTAGTTACCAGGCACAGATCAACGTAGACTGTTTCTGTCAAAGTAAATCCCCAGAGAAGTTCTGGTGAGCAGTGGTGCACCCACCACCTGCCGGCCTGGGACCAATCAGACCCCTCACGGGCCTTGTAACACTTGAGATGCTTGGGTAACTTCCCCCACTTCTCAACTGGGCCATGCTGAAACGTGCCCTCCCGGCCCCTGATCCTGGGAGAACTCAGCCCGTGTGTTCCTCGGCTCCCACATTCTTTTCCTTTGAGGGAGAGGACACTTATTTGGGTGGGCCCTGGTCCCATCTCCCTCCGCACCATGGGCTCCTGCTGCATTTCTGTTCCTGTGGAACATCAGACAGCTAACCTGGTGTAGAAGATGACGTCACAGGAGCTCGAGCTCCACAGGGGCCGACAGCCAAGGGGAAGAGGTGTTCTGCGCGCTCAGACTCAGCACCCGTGCGTCCCCAGCCCCTGCCCACCTGCCACTGTGCCGGCTGAACAAGCTGAGATCCCGGGCCCCCTGCCAAGGTTCAAAGCTCCCCACCACAGGAGGCGCCCTCCCTCCCGCGCTGGGCCACTGGTGAGGAACGGAGGGGACGCTCTTCCTACCTTTAGCCTCCACAAAGGATATGGAGAATCCGTGTCACGGTTGAAGAACCTGGTTGTCTTTGTCCCTGCGCTTAATAAATATTCAGCTGGCAAACCCTGCGTTTGTGAAATATACCGAATCTGCAAGAAAAGATGGGAAGGAGGTCAGGCTTCTCCCGTCACTGTACACACGGTATACTAATGACTCTGGTGGCTTCGAGGAGATTCAAAATGACAGTCTTATAGAGAAAGGAAGGAGTAAAGAAAAAAGGAATAAAGAAAAACCCAGCAAGGGTGAGGGAAGCAAGGTTTGGGAGACAATGTCACACTCACAGCCCCTGCCTGTGTCACGTTATAAATTAAATACGAACTCAGGCTGCTTGCCTGGCAAAGGATGAGGTGTTTCCGTGGCTACCTGTGTCACCTGGACCCACCTACCTGGTCATACTCTGAAGCTCCCGGGTACAACGGCCAGCCCAGGAAGAGTTCCGCGATGACACAGCCCAACGACCACATGTCGATCGCTTCACAGAACGGTAACCCGAGGATGATCTCAGGCGCCCTGCACGGAAGAGTGGAGGAAGCGGTCAGCGATGCTGTGTCTAGATGAGTCCCCTGCACACCCAGAGGCCACTATGGACATGGCCTGCAAAGGGCCTGTGGTTCTCAGGACAAGTGCTGCCTTGCAGCGACCCCTCCAGCCCCTGGCCTGGTCTTTCCCAACTTGCAAAGACCAGTAAAGTGGTGGCCAAGATGAGGGGTGGGTCTGAGCCCAGAACGACTCCAGGGAACCCTGTCTGCTGGCTTCGGTACCACTACACTCCAACCAAACGTGCTGATGATACCTTAGAAACACTGCAGTGACCTTTTGTAGCTGAAAACCTGGAAAACAACTTCCAGAGACTGCCTGACTTTTGCAAAGCAATTCTGAAATGCTGGTATTCTATTTCCAGGAATACATAAAACAAGCTGCCTCCACCCAAAATAATGGGATTAAATCTAACATCCATTCATGTCCATGACCTCTTTCTTAGGAATTTGCATTCCATTTTTCTAAGGGGACTATTTTTCCCCCCATCAGCTTCTGAACAGTTGATCTCAGAAGTTCTCTAATGCTGTCACGTTAGAACCCTGCTCGTGAATGCATGGTCTGGGTACCAAGCGGAATTCTGCTTTACACAAACAGCCTACTGTCCTTGGAGACAACATCACCCTGGTTGGGAATCACAGCCAGGGTGTACCCAGAGCACATCTTCCTTTCTAAGAAACTGACAGGACTGGGTAGGAGCAGGTTTTGGGGAAAGCCAGGCTCAAAGTTTGAGAGATGAACACAGTTTCTGTTTTTTGAAAGCGTGGCTCCAGGCACTTAGCTGATTATCAGCTGCAGTATCTCAACTTCTGTGTTCTCCATAGATTTCCCACTTGATACTGGAAGAGGCGCCTCGGGGACCCTGCACCTGCTGGAGTCAGAGTGGAGGGGCTGGGGAGTGGAGGGGCTTCCATCATGGCCGCCTTCCACGACTTAGCACAGGGGGAGTCGGCGGGTGACCAGAAACACCTCCACTGTCCTTGGATCACCCAGTGAATATTTCTCCATTTAAAAAGCACCCCACACCTCACCTCTTTAAACTTCCTCTCACAGCTAATCTTTTTCCTGTCTGTAACAGTATTGTAAAAACAAAATTACACAAGACTCAGAAATGTTGGTTACAAAGTTATACTTCACAAGTACAAGGGGGTTTCTTCACTCCCCAAGGCTGGAGGTGGCTGCTCTGGCAGGGGAGCCGGGCGCCTCGGGCCATTCAGCGAGTCTTCCCTCGCCCGGAGGCCGGCATTCTCCCCAGCCCTTCCCCATCTCTTTGGATTTTTCAAAAGTAATGTTTACTTATTTTTAATTCTACTTGAAAGGCAGAGAGAGAGAGAGAAAGAAATCTTTCCACTGCTGGTTCACCCCTCAAATGCTTGCAACAGCCAGGGCTGGGCCAGGCTGGAGCCAGGAGCCAGGAGCTCTAGGGGTGGTTCGGCAAGACACGGCAGACGCAGACTGCGATGACTGGCGTTCCATGAACAGGGCCTGGGAGGTCCTCTTAGTGCACCAGGGAATGAGGCAGCCATCGGTGGTGTGACCACGGTGCGTAGAGCAGTGCTTTCTCGTGGTGACCATAAGAACAGCGCTCCCGCAGCCGGCTGGATGGTTGGCAGGCCAAAGAAACAGAAGCACGGCCCTGTCCATGAAGGACCTTCAAAGCACACAGGACAACTAACGTTGGATACAAACGTGTGCAATAAAAACACACAGACAGGAAAATGTAGGTGACACAAGCACAGAGCGAGCTCCCAGAGCCCCTGTGTTAGAAAACAAAGCGGCACCCAAGAAGAAAACAGACACAAATCCAACCCAAGCCCCGGACTTCCCTTAACGGCAGCAGAGGCGGTGCCGGTGCCATTGTACTGCTGCCTTCTAAGCCGCCTCCCTGCCGGGTCGTCAGTTAGCTTCTCCTCTCTGCACATTATCTCCTCAACCTCTTCCAGCAGCACTGGACACTTTCTGCTGGATGCTGCACTTGCTAAGACGGGCAGTGGTCTCCACACCCTCACACGCATGGGTCACTTCCCGGCTGTGCGACCTACGAGCCACTCTTCCTTCCCACAGCTGACCCGCCCTCCTGTTCTGAGATACTTGGTTGTCAACACGGCCCCTTGCCTCTGCGTGGCTTGGTGGCTTGTCCTTGTCCATTTGACTGCGGCATGTTGGCAAGGTCCTAGGCCTTTGCTCCTCTGTCTTTTCCCGGGGTGACTGCTACAGGTTGAACTGGGTACCCCTCAGTGCCTCGGGGGGGGGGTGTTAGTTAAGATGAGGTCTCACGGGAGCAGGTGGGTTCTGTTCAATGTGACCAGTGTCCTCCTCTTAAGGGAAATTTGGACACGGCAGCCACACAGACGTGTGGAGGCAGAGGCGGAGCCTGGAGTTACATTGCACACGCCCAGGCATGCCGACTGAGGCCCCCAGAAGCTGGAAGAGGCCAGAGGACGGCCCTGCTGACACCTTGCTCACAGCCTTCCAAACAGCTGTTGTTTTCAACGCGCACTTTGTGGTTCTCGTGACAACCACTCTGGGAAGCCAACAGAGCCACACACAGCTCCCATGGGTCCAACCTCTATTCCTAGTTCTGATCCCGGAATTCTCCTTTCTGTCTGCATTCACATCTTGACAGCCTGCTATTCCCACGGCAGTGCGCCCTGCAGCCACCTCAAGGGCCGCCCATTTAAAAGGGAGCACACCTCCCCTGACGTCCTCCTCCTCTGCCCTCCTCATGTTGCTAAATGGAATTACTGCCTCCAGCTACATGGCCAGAAGACTGGGAATGGGCTTGGACTGCTCTCTCCCTTCCTCTGCACCACTGACACCATCAGTACTGCTGGTCCCACAGAAAAGCCCTTCCTCTGCACCACTGACACCGTCAGTACTGCTGGTCCCACAGTCCAGCCCTTCCTCTGCACCACTGACACCGTCAGTACTGCTGGTCCCACAGAAAGCCCTTCCTCTGCACCACTGACACCATCAATGTTACTGGTCCCACAGTCCAGCCCTTCCTCTGCACCACTGACACCGTCAGTACTGCTGGTCCCACAGTCCAGCCCTTCCTCTGCACCACTGACACCGTCAGTACTGCTGGTCCCACAGTCCAGCTCAAATTGGTCTTGCTCTCCATCACTGCTGCCGCTGCTCTGCCCCGGCAGCTCTGCGTCACCCTGAGCGCCCCATCCAGGATTTCCTCCCCCCAAAGCAGCCAGGCGTCATGGCTCACACCTCTCCTGCTGAAGCCTGCGGCTCCCCACTGCACTTAGAATGAACTCAGAACCCCTTCACGGCCCACAGGACCTGCCCGATGGAACCCTGCAGGCCTCTCCACTGTCCCTGCAAACCGCTCAGCAGCCTCCGCGCCCACCGGCCTCATCTCCATTTCCAGAATGCCCCAAGCTCCTTCTGCTTCTGAGGCCCTCACTGTTGGCTCCCCAATGGCCGCCACCTTCTCACCCTGCATATCTCGGCTTCACTGCCCCTGCCACAGACAGGCCTCCCTTGACACCAGTACGTCTCCATATACAGTGCCATGAATGCCACTGTATGCTCCGTCCCAGGAACTGGCTCACTGCTGCCCCCTGCCACGTCCACGGGGGCAGCATGGCGCCTGGCGTTGCAGCCACACGCTCGTGTTTGTTCATCAAATAAAGCTTGATCACAGGGAAGAAAGTGCTCGGCTATGTGGCTCAGATGGAAATTCCCACGGCAGCACAAAGGGAGCGGAAGGAGCAAACCTTGGCGCAGGAATCAAAGCTTGGGCACACCTGCCACACTCAGGGACAGCTACCTGCCGGTGCCGCTCAGGGAACCATAGCAAAATAAAATACGATAAAAAAGCAGTAGTAGCAGGGGTTTTGGAGGTGGTCCCAGGATCACAAGGGCATCGGAGACCCCGCCCAGAGCCCTCGCAGGATGGAGCCTATCTCCACTCTGTCTTGAAGCCATTTCCCTCCTCAGCTCCCACTGTTACCAAGTGGAGAGACCCTGACCACCACCTCCTGCTCGCTCACCTTCGGTTGCAGCCTGCACCAAGCCACCCTGAATGCCTCTCCCACCTCGAGGGGTGCACTTATCTCTGCCTGCAAGGGACCCACTTCCGAAAGAGCCTCCCCCCGGCCCCCCAGGCCTCCCGGACTGCAGCACACACGCACTGGCTCTGTGGATGAAGATGTCGACGCGGATGACAATGGAAGAGTCTCCTCATCACTATTTAGAGACAGCAAAAGTGCTGTAACATACAGCAAGTGTCAGACAAAATCTGCACCTGGGAGAGAGGGACCACTCATCCCCAGCACTTCCAGAGCGAGGCATTGAAAATTCTGTGTGTGTGTGTGTGTGTGTGTGTGTGTGTGTTTTAATAGAGAAAGAAGCTAAGCTACTACCTTTGACCTATAAATACCTGTTTGCGTATCTGTCCCCTACTCAGGTTTCTGAAGGGCAGGGTGTGTGTCCCGGTCTTTGGTCTGCAGTCGCCAGGTGAGGCAGGCTCTTCTCTCTCTGGCCCCCAGTGAGCCTTGGATCACACCCTGTGCTGGGGGCCTGTGGACGCCTGGCCCCGAGCCCCTGGTCTCTAAGGTCCTGCACCCCCGGAGCTGTTTCCTGTTGCTCGGCTCACCGGAAGCATGTGTGATGGCTGCTGATGTGTGTTTAGTCTTCAGTGAGGCACCCTCTCTCCCACGGTCCCGGTCCCGCTGAGCCTGAATCTGGTGGGAGCTCCATTCACACCCTCACTGATGTGAGCACTCGCTCACCCTTCAGAAGTATCCCTAGGCACCAGGTGTTGTGTGGGTGCTGAAGACAAAAACCAAACCAGAGCCTTGGCTCCTCTAGCACAGCCCCACCCCGAGAGCTCACACACCACGTGCAGAGTGCGGGCGCAGTGCACAGGGGAGTGGCACGGGGCGGGCTCCCCAAGTGCAGAGTGCGGTCGCAGTGCACAGGGGAGTGGCACGGGGCGGGCTCCCCAAGTACAGAGT